ACTGACAAGGTCCGTCATCAAGTGTGCATTCATGTGGATCCCAGTTTTGAATTGAAATGACTAGAAAGGGATGTGGGACTTATATCAATGTCTGGCATATTTACATGGATGGGATTATAAATTTTCTAATGTACTTTTGCATTTTTATTTTCCTATATAAATAAGCATTCCTTTTAACTTAAATAGGAAAATAGCCACACTCAAACAATAAAAATGCTATTTTAAAAAATCTGAGATTTAGGATTGTTGGAAGATTTCTCTCTCTTTTAAAGAAATCTCAGATCAATTTTCAGCCCCATTATTTTGCTCAAAGGCATATCTGAGGAACTGGTACATTACCTTATAATTGATGAAAGCAGGAATATCAGTGACCTGGCCATTTTATCGGGTGTTTTTAAGATATAGTTGTAATAGTAAGAAAAACTGTTCATTATTGATAACATAACAAGTGAATAATTTCTCAGTAGTATATGTATTAGGAAGGGATTAGTTTGCACAGAATCCAAGCTTGGTATACCATATAATAGACATGATCTTTGCCCCCATCCTACATCTTTAGCCTTTCATGATATGGCTCCAAGATAATTTTCCTGTCTAATTTTCTGGTAAACACCTACAATCACTGTTCTCCAGGAAATTTGACTGAAAAAATTAGAAATTTGAAACTAACTTATTGAAAGCAATTTGGAAATTCACCTAAAGCTAATTGAGTGAGAGAATAGTGGCAAATATGACTTTGATTGAAACGCCAAGTTCATCAAAACTGTCATTTCCCGATTACTGATTTTGTTGTTGCTGTGAAGTTTCATTTTATTTTTGGTATGTTGGTGCATAATGTAATAGTTTTGCAACCCTATACCTTTGGTAAATATTTTATCTTTACTTTAAAAGATAAAAAGTTTTTTATGTTTTAATTATTTTCAGCTAACTAATCCCACGGTTCGTTGTTCATTATGTAAAATTTGGAAACAACCTAAATGTTTAACAGTAAAATATTCTCAGAACTAAACACCCTTCATCTTTGCACAGGGGGATGAAGAAGTCAAGACAGCCGATAGAGACTATTTTTTCAAGGACAACGGCTGCAAAGTCAGAAATGGGGCAGTAGCTATATGAGGAACGTCTAGGAAGTATTTTTAAGAGGAACAAAGGCCTAGTAGAAATGACCAATAGGTGGAAAAACAAAATAAAATATAACAATTATTTTAAAACTCATCACATTAATTAAGCGTATAAGAAATGAAAAAACTGGTGGACTGAGTGTAATTCATCTCTCTCTCTCTCATATCTTAGTTTCTTCATTTATTTGAAAACGTCACCACTTGTCTTTTTTCTCTCGAAACTTGCTATTTCTTAGAGGCTATACTTTTCCAACAGTATCAGTTAATCTGTCTCTCTTTCTCTCTCTTCTTATCTCCCTTCCCATCTACTTGTATCTTTCTCTTCACTCTGTTTAGTATTCCTGGAATATTTAGCTGCATCACAGGAAAAAGAAAAACAAGCAAATGCTAATTAACATTCGCGGTTCAGAACCATGGACAGCAGCATTCGAGCTGGGAATGGGACTTGCTCATATTGGAGAGTAACTTTGAAAGTTTGGTCTTACAGAACATATTTGTTGGTGTGTCCACAAATGGATAAGGTGATAGTTAGAATATTAAAACTCAAGGCTGAATTGTATTTTTTTCTTCCTTTAATGGAGGGAGTGGAAAAAGACATTAACACTACAACAAAGGAAGACTGGCATATAGTAGCATCCAAATATTAATTAAATAAACTGTTCGCCTTAATGATAAAGAATGATTCAATAAGTTAGTTTATTTAATGGATCTTTCAAATTGATGATTCTCAGTCAACAACTGCAAAGCAAAGTTTTATATTTTTTACTATGCTATCCATGGTGTTAATGAAATTAAAGGTGGTAGGGCCGGCCCGGTGGCGCACTGCTACAGTGCGCCGCTTGGGAGCGCGGCGGCGCTCCCGCCGAGGGTTCGGATCCCACATACAGACCGGTTCCCGCTCACTGGCTGAGCGAGGTGCGGGCACTACGCCGAGGGGTGCGATCCCGTTGCCGGTCCCGGTCCGGTACGAGCGCGACCCTGAGGGTTGTGATCCGTTGCCGGACACGAAAAAAGACAAAAAAAAAAAAAAAAAGAAAAAAATTAAAGGGGGGGGGGCCGGGCCGGGGGCCCCCCGCCACCGGGGGGCCGCGGGGGAGCGCGGCGGCGCTCCCGCCGAGGGGTCGGATCCCACATACAGACCGGTTCCCGCTCACTGGCTGAGCGAGGTGCGGGCACTACGCCGAGGGGTGCGATCCCGTTGCCGGTCCCGGTCCGGTACGAGCGCGACCCTGAGGGTTGTGATCCGTTGCCGGACAACAAAAAAGAAAAAAAAAAAAAAAAAAAAAAAAAAAAGAAAGAAAGAAATTAAAGGTGGTAAAAGTTGGTCCAAAAAATGAAAACTGAGATTCAGTCACTTCCATAGAATAGTGCAAATTAGTTCTAGATGCAAAATTTAAAACATCATTGGCCATTTTTCTTTGATGACAAAAATTGAAAAGTCCTTTGATGAGTTTTCCCAGCAACTAAAATGACCCTTTTATCTAGCCTCTGACACAAGTAACTTGACTACATGTACATGAAACTTCACCAACAGAAGCCTGCAAACTTAAGCATACACCTTTTGACAGCATTCTTTAATTTGTTACCCTGACAATTCCTAAAGCAATGAACAAGGCCATTCACATTTACATATTTATATCAACTCACACTTGCATGTCTCTTCCCTTCTGAAAAACTCCCTACCACTCACATGGTCTTTCTAAAATTAGTTTACACAGTTCTTGAACTGTGTGACTCATTTTAACACACAATCATACAATATCTCCTACTTTTGCTGCCTGACATGTATGAGGGCATTTCAAAAAGTTCATGGAAAGATTTGTATTATCTTTCAATTTTGTTTTTCCACAAACTTTTGAAGAACCCTCATAAACACTGCAAGCTACTTGAGGCTGTATCTGCTTGTTGTTTGCACTGTACAACATCTAGCACAGGACTAGTGCACAAATATTGAAAAATCACCATCATCTTTTTTCTGGAATTCAAGAATGTATCTCTTTGCTTCTTGACACATACCTCTCTGGAGTTTGTGACAGTACAATCAATAAATTCATCCTTTTCATTGATGAGATGTTATTGATCACTTCTCTTAGTTTTACCTCAACTGGGAAATGTTCATGTAACCATTTAGACATGTTGCCTTCCATCAGCATGTATACAACTTTTTCCCTAAGGCACCCCTGCTATCAAGAGCCTGAAGTAATACAAATTCTAGGGGCATCATTCAAAGTTGCAGATGGCAAAAACAAAATTTCTTTGAACTGTTTTATCTTTAAAATACTTGAGAATTTTGCATTCTAAATTCATTCATTCAAAAAATGTTAGGTACCTACTCTGCCGCCAGGCATTGTTACAGGGATGCGGTAATGAATAAATATATTTGTGTTTATTTTTAACTAGTAATATTTTTGTACAACTTGGCTAAAGTAGAAAAACAAAAACAAAAATTTTCAGTCCAAGATGGGCCAATTATTTCTTCAAATACACTAATCATGCTGTTTCACATCCTGGAAATGTGTTTTTCCTTTTAGAAACTAAGTCTTGGGTTAATTCCCACAATACAAAGCCAACAGTTAATATTTACTCTATATGAAAATACTTGGGAGTGTCATTATAGCTAACTAGGTTGTCTTCATTTTGTCATTATGTTCTGCCTACATTCTGAACTGGTAAAGTTGGAAATCCACCTCAATACCTGGAGAAAAAGTATAAAACTTATCCTTAAAAATCACGTGAGGGGGAGGGGGAATCTTCATTAACCTCAGTACCGCATTGCTCACCACTGCTTTAACCTTAATTAAGGGCTTCTCCCAGGTGCTTATGCACCTGATTAGCTTCAAGAAAGATCTCTCTTTAGGAAAGTAAGATCTCACATAAACTTTTCGATTTCTCTCTGCATAGAAATGCTGAACATTACTGCTATTCCATTCTATTGGTCTGGGATCAATCAAGGCTGACCAGAAGATTCCTTGAGAAGTATTAAATTCTCCAGTGATAGTTTTAAATAATTTGTCTGATTCCAAGAATAAATGTAGGATTGATTTTGCCATGTTTGTGGGTATGTGGCATATGTATTTTTGACTGGAGGCAACTGTTTTGCAATAGCACAAGTGATTTTCCACTGGGATTAACAGTCAATTCTCCAAAACTGCGGTGACTGGATAACTTGCATGAAGCCTGGCTGTCCAACCTGGAGCCTCCAAGGCAATTATCCCAAATTACTAAGAAAAAGGAAACATTAGTGCATGGATGTGGAGGTATGTTTCTCTTGCAGACAATGTAGAATCTGCCAAATTTATATACCTTCAGACTGGCTAATTAGGAAGAGGTAGGGAAAACACCAAAATATACAGACTTCACAACTGCAGGACAGTGGTTCTTAATCAAAAGTATGCATCAGAATCACCTGTAGAACTGGTATGAGATTTCTCTGTTTTAAAATTCAGATTGGGGCTCAATGTTTATGAATCTAACCTGAGAAGGGCATAGGAGTGCACACCTTTAAGAACTCTACAAATGATTCTGATTCAAATACTTCTATAGTACTAAAATCTATTTTATTCCTGACCATAATATGGGCTTCTGGTTTTGTTAAGACTTAAACTTATGTGTGGAAGCTGGAATCCAGAAGGTTTAATGTTTTATTCACCTTAGTCTCCCAATACTTTATATGAATGACAACACTTGGAATCCAAATGTAACCACTGTGTCCAGCATAGATATTCCAAATTATTGCAATTCCTTGTTTATAAACCCATGCATGTGCACTGGAGCAGCCTACCTCCAAGTCTTGGTGTCATAGGCAGGATCTCTCTCCAACACTAAATGATTTTAAATATGTAACCTCCTGCTCACCAATAAGAGAAACTGGACATTTTATATTTGAAATTTTAAGATCAGTTTATTAAGTTCAATGAAGAAAGCTATCAGAAGAATATTCTCCTGAAAATTATTTTTTCTTAGAAAAAAAGAAAGGAAAATCAAAGCCCTCTCAGCATAGCCACAGATGCTGTGGCAGTCAAGCCTCTCTGCAGATGGAGACAGTCCATTAGTCGGTTGAGTCACTCTCTGGATCAGCAGGATTGTAGTCTGGGTCATCCTCATCATCTTCCAGCTCCAAGTCATCCATTTCCTGGAACAAAGACTCATCTACCTCCACGTTGTTTCCAGCTGCAAAAGGCAAAAAAATTTCACCTTCAATCTTATACTCAGGAATAAAAGATACAATTACATATATATATATATATATATATATATATATATATATACATATATATATATATGTATGTATATAAAGATACAACTACATATATATATGTACTTGTACATATGTAGATACAACTATATATATATGTAGTTGTATAAATAATTCATTCTAGTAAGGCTTTATATATATAAAGCCTTATATATATATAAAGGCTTATATGTATATATAAAGCCTTATATATACAAAGCCTTATATAAAGCCTTTTATATATATAATATATATAAAGCCTTTTATATATACATATATATAAAGCCTTACTAGAATGAATTATTTATAAGGTGCCATGTTATAAGTTGAAGACTTTAAACAGGATATGCTATCCTGGTTATACAAAGTTGATTATCACTGACCATGGGACCTGCACCAGTAGCTATCTCTTCCAATAGTAGCAGACATGCACATCATTAAAGCTCAACTATCCTTGTTATCTAATCGATAGATTTAACCTGATCTTCACCCTAACCCAGTTCCCCTTGTAACCAATGGTATGCCCTTCCAAGATTCCAAATGTCTAAGCCCTACAGGAAGCAATACCCAGGCTCTGCATTAAACATCTTCCTCTTCAGTTAGTCTGAAGTAGATAAAAGTAGGATATTACAGCACTATTATATCAACAAAAATTGGTCATCTTCCTTCCCTCTCAGACTCCAGGTCACTGTCATTCAATTCAGCAAGAATAGAAAAAGAATGCTTCATGCCTATGAGCAGTTCAGTAATAAAATACAATTTGCTAAGTCCAGGCCAAAGAATAACTGATTCTGTCTGGCAGAGGTAGTGAAGTCTTAACAGAGCAGATGAAGTCTGAGATATCTTCACAATAAATTTGAATTCACCAAGAAGAAAAGGGGACAGGATGAAGAAATTCTAGGTAGAACTATATGCAAACAAAGGCAGAGAAAAAGATAAGACCTTAAATACTTCTAATACCTGGAGATAACATGGATAAGGGCCACATTGAGAAGAATTGTGTAAGTCAACCTTTTCCTTGAAGCAGTGGAAACCATCAAAGAATTTTAAAGAGAGATATTTTATGACTAAATAGGGGTTTTGGAAATACAACCTCAGAGGTGGTGAGTATGGAATAAGTAAGGGTGGTAGAAAGCAAATGGGATTATATCAAACTAAAAAGCTTCTTCACAGCAAAAGAAACAATTAATAGAACAAAAAGACAACAATGTTTTAACAGCAAAAAACATAAGTAACCAATTAAAAAATGGGCAATGGAACTGAATAGGCATTTCTCAAAGGAGAAATGGCCAACAGACACATGAAAAAACACTCAACACCACTCAGCATCTGGGAAATGCAAATCAAAACCACACTGAGATATCATCTCCTTCCAATGAGAGTGGCTATTATCAAAAAGACAGAGAATAACAAATGCTGGTGAGGATGCAGGGAAAGGGGAACCCTCCTACACTGTTAGTGGGACTCTAAAATTGCTGCAGCCATTATGGAAAATGGTACGGAGGTTCCTTAAACAACTACAAATAGAACTGCCATATAACCCAGCAATCCCATTTCTGGGTATATACCCAAAGGAATAGAAATCATCATGTCAAAGGGACACCTGCATTCCTATGTCTACTTCAGCTCTATTAACAATAGCCAAGAGTTGAAATCAACCTAAATGCCCATCGTCAGATGAATGGATAAGGAAAATGTAGCATAGTTATACAATGGAATACTACTCGGCCATAAAAAAGAATGAAATACTACCATTCACAGCATCTGGATAAATACAGAGAAAATTATGTTAAGTGAAATAAGCCAGGCACAGAAAGAGAAATACCGCATGTCCTCACTTACATGTGGGAGCTAATAAGAAAATAAATAAATACATAAACAAAGAGAGAAAGAAAAAGGTACAACAATCATAATAATATATTGAACTTTTCAACAGAAGAGAACAGAACCTCAGAACCCCTGAAGTTGCAAGGGGTAGGAAAGGGGGAGAGAGACTGGGGAAAGGGAGGAATTGGTAAAGTGCCATGAAAATTGATTACATTGCCTAATGATGAATATTCTAATTATCCTGATGTGAACATCATATATTGCACACTGGTATTGATATTCAATGCTGTACCCCACAGATATGTACCATCAACTATGTCCCAATAAGAAAAAAAAAAAAAGTTCAGTGTCTGTAAGGGCCCAGCTTAAGGCAGGAAGCATGATTTAGCAGTGAGCCCTATCAACATTGCGTCTTAACCTTCTCCAGCAGGTAATCCAGAACAAGGTTGAAAGGCCAAAAGCTAAAGGATCCCCAAATGGCAAGATGGACATAACAGATGGTTGGTAAAGTGTAGAACTTTAGGGTGCTATCAGAGGTGGAACTGAGTATGAAGCCCAGTTTAAGAGGCTGTAAGCTCCATGAGGGCAGAGAATTGGTCTATATTGTTGTCTGCTGCATCATCCGTGGCCAGGATAGTGCAATAACTATTTGTGGATGATGAATAGATGGAAGACCGAAAAAGAGTAAGGGGTAAGAGAAAAAGGAGGAGAAGGAAAGCACAAGGGACTAGATGCTCCAAAGACACAAACAATAGGAACTAGGAGTTCCAGACATGCTAGGAGTTCCATGTCTGAGGTTTTTACAAGCTCCACAACAGACCATGGAGTAGTTTCCATAGATTTATAACAAAAGAAATTTGAGGAAAGCAGGTCACCTGAGTCACAGTGGCCCACTTTACTAGTTGTTAGAGGCTATTGTGACCATAATTGTCTATTGCTCTCTTTGATATTAAGCTATGAAAAAACTTTTAAAAATTCATTGCTATAGAATTAAAATATTCAGTTCAAATGTACAAATTGATCAACCATTAGAATTTTTCAAAATGTATTTTTTAACAGCCTTGGGAGAAAAAATTTACATTTAAGTTATCACTCTGATTTTCATGGTTTAAAATTAAAGACAGCATACTATGTACATGCAAAATTTTAATGTTATCTTACCATCTTCCAAGAACTGGATATCAGATGTGTCAAGATTATGATCTGTTTCAAATAGCTGTTTCCCTAAAAGAAATAAGTATGTTTAATTGGAATGGCATAGTATTCCTCTGTCTTCCCAGAAACCCTTTTGAAAGTGCAATAATCCAAGAAAACAAGTCTGAATACCTTATTTTCTGTGAATTTCAATAAACTTATGAACTCAGTAGCTAAGAGGCACATGAAATGTATTTGCATTAAAATGGAACAAGTGAACACCTGGTCTGCCTTAGAGTCCTGGAAAACAAATAGGTTTGACTCTACCCCTTCTAAGGCTTGTGATCCTTAATGTCCCTGTATCTCAGGACTTATCAATTGCAATATTTATAATCCAAGATAAGCCATAAATTAGTTAGAAAGTATGTGTGAACAAAGATCAGCATGTAGATATAATGTGTTCTCTTTTTGTCCTAGATGCCTAAGTATATTATTTTCTTATAGAAATCTGTCCAAATGATCTTCTTGCTATATAAGAAATAATACAGGAGGGTTTGGGAGTAACAGGAATGAGGGGAGGGGAATCATACCACTTAATTTATTTTTTCCTGCTTGCTCTTCTTCTTTCATTCGTTTCTTTTTAATTTCCAAGAGTTCTGCATCAAACTTGGCTTTCCAACTTAAGAAATTCTCAATTGTAACAGGAGTGCCATGGAATAATTGCTTAGAAAATAAAAAAAGACATAAGTCACCAGATTAATGAGACAACAGTTTAACAAATAAAGCCTAATAATACCTGATAGACAAATAAACACAACCACTTAAAAAAGAAACAGAAAAATTAATGTTTGAAATTTTGAAATATTTAATCTGATTTCTGCCTGCACTAGCTACTCTCATTGGTTTTGGCAACTTACTATGAAAAAGTCCATTTTTGATTCTTATTACAAAAACAAAGATAATATGCAATGTATTCACCACAGCTATGTGCTGTTAAGAAAGTTGTTACTTTCAGTATTAATAATTTTGAATACACATTAATTTATAACACAAAATCATAACTTCTACACTTCATTTCAGAATTTGAGATTTTCTTTACATCAGTAACTACTTAAATCACTGTGGCAGGGGCTTTATAATTCTAAACTGTATACATAGCTGAAATAATTCATATTTCTTGGTCTTACTTGCATAACCTTTACTAACTGATTATCCTCATTACTCATGCTATGCCACCAACCAAATGAGAGAATTCTAAAACTTCACTCTTTGTAAAACTTTATTAAAACTTACTTTTATTTACTTTTGTGATTTCAAATACAATAAAATAAAATAAAAGTGCCAAAAAAACCTCAAAAACAAATGTAAAGAATAATGAAAGAAAACAAGGTATTTAAATATACCTTTTCAGCTTCTTCGGCTTCTTTTTCTTTTTGTTTCTTTTCTTCCTCTCTTCTAGTTTTTATCTGGTCTACTATTTCATTTAATTTTTCTTGCACAGCTGTCACTAGAGTAAAGATCATCACCATACCAAGATTTTCTTCAGCCTATGTAACAAAAAAAAAAAGGTGGGGAGAAACATCTCAAAAAAATAAAAACTAAAACTAATGAATGAAAAAAATGTTTTGGTATAATCACTAAATCCCATACATTTACAACATGATGACTAATTCAGTTACACCATATGTTCATGCACTTGGATAAATAATCATTTAAGAAGTGAGCGTATATATAAATAATAATGTTCTATTTTAAAAGTCATATAAAATTTGCCAGATCCAACCTGAAACAGATATTTCAGCAAATGCTGCTTAATGTTCATAAATATAGATAGAATTCAGAAAATCTTTTCCTATAGTAACTAGCAACATCATTTCTCCAGCATGTTCATTACTTTAGCTTTTTTATTTTGTATTTTAAAGAGCTGTGACAACAAACTAAATTTTTCTTCACTTTTTTATGGATATAAAATACACAACTAAAAGTTACCATTTTAACCATTTTTAAGTATATAGTTTGGTGGAATTAAGAGCATTTTTTTTTTTTTTTTAAAAGATGACTGGTAAGGGGATCTAAACCCTTGACTTGGTGTTGTCAGCACCACGCTCACCCAGTGAGCGAACCGGCCATCCCTATATGGGATCCGAACCCATGGCCTTGGTGTTATCAGCACCGCACTCTCCCGAGTGAGCCACGGGCCGGCCCCGAATTAAGAGCATTTTTAATTGACACGTATTGATTGTACATGTTTATGGGGTAGTTATATTTCAAGACATGTGTACAATGTGTGATGATCTAATCAGGGTTATTAGCATATATATCATCACAAAAATTTATCATTTCTTTGTGATAAGAGCATTTGAGCTCCTTTCTTCTAGCTATTTGAGAACATACAAGAAATTATTGTTAATTATAGATGCCTAGTTCCATTGTAGACCACAAGAACTTATTTTTCCTATCGACCTGTGATTTTGTACTCCTTAACCAACCTCTCCCTAACCCCCCAACCTTCTCCCCTTCCCAGCCTCTAGTAACCACAATTCTATGCTCTACTTCTACAAGCTCATCGGCTTTTTTTTATTAGGTCCCATATATGAGTGAGCATATGCAGTATTTATCTTTCTGTGCCTGACTGATTTCACTTAACATAATGTTTTCCAGGCTCATCCATGTTGCCACAAATGACAGGATTTCATTCTGTTTTATGGCTGAGTAATACTGCATTGTGTATATATACCACATCTTCTTTATCCATTTATTTGTCAATGAACACCTAGGTTGATTCCATATCTTGCCTATTGTGAATAGTGCTGCAATAAATATGGGGGTGCAGATATCTCTTCGGTATGCTAATTTCCTTTCCTTTGGATAAATACTCAGCAGTGGGATTGCTGGGTCATATGGGAATTCTATTTTTAGTTTTTTGAGGAATCTCCTTATTGTTTTCCATAATGGCTGCACAAATTTACATTCCCACTAACAGTGCATAAGAGTTCCCTTTTCTCCACATCCTTGCCAGCATTTGAATTTTGAGGCCAGAGTGATTTTCTAATCTAACACAATAATAAAGAATGCAGATGCTTTTGTAATTTTTCTTTACCTACATTTTCTTTAGATAAGAAATGGTTTAAAACCAAATGTAAAAGCATCTCTGACTCATACAAGAGATATAACTGACTGGCTATTAGGAAGTTGGGCATTTGAGGGCAAAATAAGATAAAACAAAATATTTTGTTTCCCCACAGAAACAAAATAGGGTTTCAATAAAGTAGACAAAAAATATAATTTCAAATCATTCTAGTCAGAAACTCGAACTTACCAAGCATTTCTTTGATAGGGCTGGCCTCAGCAGAATTTGAATGGATATTTCATCTCCTGGGCGCTCCATGAGTGATAGGTTTCAAGCTAGCTCCTGTAATCCTCCTCAGTTGGGCTTCTGTGTATTAATCTCTATGCTAACCATCCTAAATCAAATGACTGAACAAATCTCTCTTCTGAGTGCTAAAGCCATATTAAATCCATCTACTGGACGGTGACTTGTCCCGCAATCACCGCAACACTGAAACCATCATCTTCTCCACAAAACCTATTCTGTTTTCTCAAATTCTGCAAATTACACCACCATCCTCCCAGTCTGAACATCCCTATCCCATCATAAGCTCTACCACTGCCTCTTAACCTATTCTTTAATATCATTTAAATCCATTCACTGTTCACTGCCAACACTGTTATTACCCTAGCCCAAGACACCATCATTTTCAGCTTGAAATACTATAATAAACTCCTAACTAGTCTTCTTAAAAACTATGATCTTGTCTCCTCTGACATCAACCTCCTATAACCATTCAATACACACACACAGAGCTAATCTAATTTACAAGCTGAAGCACCACAAAATTAAGCCAGTCAGTCTCATGCTTAAAACACCTCAGCAGCTTTCCAAACTAAACAGGACCAAGTTCATATTTTTTAAACAGTTTAGAAGACAATTCTAAAAAAGGAAGTAACCTCTTTAGTTCCTCCACTTACTACCAACACTTCTAATTCTAAGGTAATTAATTTTATATGACTGGAAATTCCAGAGGAAATAATCCATCAATTTCTCTCTCTCTCATCTCAATGCCCTTTAACAAGCTTGTTCCTCTGCTCTGAAACTCTTCAACTCTCTTTAAGTTGCAAGGCAAACTCCTGCTTCAGGTCTCATATTCCTCTTGGAAGCTTCTGCATTGCCTCAAGTCTATGTCCACCCATATAATCCTGTACTTCACCCATCACAGCATTTTTAAAGCAAAGTAATGATTTCCACATTCCTCACCAAAATATAAAATCTTTGAGACTAGAGATGGTGTTTGTCTTGGCAATTCAACCTAATTAATGCTCAATACATTTCAAAAACAAATCCTAGTAGGATACCTTTCATAAAAGAAAGCATTCCAATAGAAAAGCAAATAAAAAAAATCCACATGGAAACTAGACAACTCAGATGTCATAAGACATAGTTCCATATCACTAGTATTTAAAGAAATACAAATTATAACTATTTACCATTTTCATCTTGTCCTATTTTTTTTTATTTCTAAATGAAAATATCTAGTGTTAGTGAATGTGGGAAAACAGACACTTCAGTGGCTACGGTGAGATCATAAATTGCCACAACTATTTTGAAAGTCAATTTGTCAGTTCAAATTCTTAAGTATGCATACCATTTAATCCAGCAACCCTACTTCTGGGAAAGACTGGACTAGTATACTCATTAGTAATTCATTCAACAAATATTTGAGTGTCTACTACGTGCCAGGAACTAGGCATACAATGGAGAACCTGCTATAAGGACTTACAACTAGTGATATATAAAAATGTTGAAAGAATTATACACTAAATCAGGCAAAAATGAGAAACAATTGTAAGATTTTTTTTAAAAGGTATGTGTAACTATATATACAATGAAATTCTATGCAGTTATCAAAAATAATAATTCGTATCATGTTTAACTGAAATGGATAGATGCCCACATATGTTGTTATGTGAAAAGGAGGATGTTACGAAACATTTTGTATAGAACAATCTATCTTGGAGTGGGAGAGGGGAACTAGCATATAAGCATAAGAAATAAGGTCTGGAACCATATCACACCAAAATGTTAATAAACAATTATACCTGGTTCGTGAGATTAAGAATAATCTTTATTTTCCTCTTCATGATTTTCTGTGCTTTCTGAGTTTTTGTAACATGAATTTATTATTTTGATAACTGAAAATCAATACAACTATTTTTGGAGAAAATACAAAAATATTCCCTCAATACAACTGATCTCAGGCAAGTGTCAAAGAAATCAAAACTGCCTTTTCGAAAGGAGAGTTTGAGTATAAATACAATATTAAACACACGGAAAAATTCATTCAGATTGAGTAATTTACATTAATGTGCAACTGAATGAATATAGCGTAACCATTCCAGGTTCTCTACAGTGTTTTAAAATGAAACACATTAAGCCAAATGATTAGTATAACTTCATGCAGATAACAGAGTGAACAGGGCCCAGGGTCAGCAAAAATTCCTGTCTTATATATCTCATTCTCTAATAGCTCCAGATATTTTTACAACACCAGCATTCAGGGGACAATAGGTCCTTAGAATATACAAGTCACATCTAAGGTGGACAGATGTTTTCTGTCTGTTCTTAAAATAAAGAGAAGTAGGATTTCTGATTTTAAGATGGTGGAGTAATAAGGATTTTACTTGCCCTCTCTAGTCTGTACTCTGAAGAACCCATGAAAACTCTCTACCCAAGCATGAGTGAACATTAAATACCTGCCAAACCCAGAGTGTGAGTAGCACATCCCATAACAGAACTAGTTCAGTAGGAACTTTCCAATATCCATTCTCTCTTCCATATACCCTCCTTTCTTAGAGGGGTCATAAGACATTATTGCTGTTTGTAAACTTAGGGAGGAGGAGATGGGGGGGGGGGATCAACCACCAGTTCTCTTCCCAGACTGTAGGTAACTAGCTCATAACCAGTCAGAGGAGATATGAGTTTTAATTTTTTAAAAAAGCTGAAATTTTCAGTTACACATGGGACTAGACATTCTAAGAGCAAAATCAAAATTGTGTTTACGACTTAAAGTACCTTTTGGACTTTTTACCACTTAAGAGTGAGCAGAAAAGTCATGAGGCTGAATGAATTTCAAACAGGGGAACTAGGACAACTTCTATTACTCAAATTTCAAAGGGACGGTAAAAAAATAAAGATACTTTGTGATTATGTATCATGAATTCTGTTTGGCCAATGTACTGTTTACACATATTTAATAGCACTGTCTAACTCTTAAAATTAAGATACAATATTTAAGACCAATGAAATAAAACCACTACAAAACATAAAACTGTTTCCTTACCTGTAATGCTAATAATTTTAAAATGTCTGAGACATCATTATCTTCTAGATTTTCCTGGGAGAATATTTCATAAAGGGGAGCTTCATCTGGGTAATTTTCACTGTATGTAAACTTGAGGGTAGTCTGGACAGCTAAGACACAAGATAAGAGTTTGATATGAATACTGTTGAAGTATAGGAGTTAATATCTTTGTTGAATCAGTAATTTACAATGTGTCATTGAAAACTGTACAATAGAACTTCTACAAAGAAAACTAAGGTTAAGAGACCAGATAGATAATCACTAATATAAACAATACATAACACAAAGAGATAAGTGAAACAAATCATGGGAATAAAAAAAATTACTTCACATGAAATACACATGAAATACATTTATATTACTTATTGGTATTTTATCATACTACATGTCTCAGAAAGAGGATGGATAAAAGCCACCCTTTTAAAACTCTCCCTAAGACAGGGCTGGCCAGTTAGCTCTGTTGGTAATGATAAGAGGTGCTCAGTTTCCCTGGGCTCAGACTTCAGGACACAACTCTGGGTTTCAAGCCACTCCCCAAGGTCTCAGGCCCCTCATCTGGACCCTCCCCTAGAGGAATGTTACTGTTGCCAATGAGACCTATTTTCTGCATCAACAAAAGGGAAATGAGACCACAAGGGGCTGGCTTATGCAAATCTAGTGGCTGGGCATACTCAGTAGAGAAGGGTCATATAACCCTGGCAGCTAAATGACCTTCCACTAGAGCTGCTAGAGAGCACAGAACATTCTTGAATATGCCTGGTGCATGTGACAGGATTTGACCAATGAACATGCTCCAAAAGGGGACCGACTGAGCATGTGCAAGACTAAATGTTACATAACCAGGAACCACCCCCTTAATTGAATATTCATTAGATAGAGAATCTATAAAAGCCAAATCCCAGCAGAAGGTGGGGTTGTTACTCACTCTCTTAGAGCCTGCCTGCACTCTGCCTGTGGAATATGTATTTATTTCTTCTTGAATCAAACTTACTTTTAGCAAGCAGCTGCTCATTTTCCTGAGCCAGCTTGCAGTCCGTACTGATCTTTAAGTATTTCTTACTTTTGTATTAAACTTGGTGTGGGCCCTGCTCAGTCTCTAGAGCTAGGCCACACTCTCTCTGTGAAACCTGTATCTCTTATTCATTATATTAAACCTGTTCTCATTTTTCACTGTGACCCTGCTCTTGAATTCTTTCCTGTGGTGGAGTTAAGAACCTGGTAAGAGGACGGGGTGGGTTGAGGCCATCTATGGGCACCCCCAGACTCAACTTCCAATATCAGTTACAGTGTGGTGTTATAACACTGAGGTCAAGGGTTCAGATCCTCGTACTGGCCAGTGCAGAAAAAAAAAAAAAAAAACCCCAAAAAACAAAAAACTCTCCATAAGTTAAACAAAGGCACTAAATATAACACATAGAAAAAGTACTACCATAGGCTCATTCTCAGCCTCCACCAAAGCCAGTTCCCGGCTGCAGAAGACCTAGCTGTAGCCCTGGAATCTACATTTATATCTGCACAATGCCAGCAGGGCATTGCTAACAGGTGGCTGGAGGACACGGTTTTGCACTGGACAGTTTGAGAGATTATCTGGGAAAGTTTTAACATAATTCATCTATATACACTCTCACTCACTCTTTTGGCCTGTGCCAGTTTAAAGATCTGACACTTGTATAGGAGTAAAATTCTCATGGGCATATTAGTGCAAGGTATCTATAGCCCAGCCAAGTGAGTTCTCAATTCCACTAGACAGTTTGCAACTAAGCAGTAATGCTAAACATTTTTAAAAACTTTTTATTACTCATAGTGATTCCTCCTAGAGTTCATCTTTCTTGTAACTCACATTTTAATTATCAAAATCTACTGATTCTGATGAAGTAACTTAAATCTATATTACTCTCCACGGGAGGGGGAAAAGGCACTTTAAAATTAGCAGGTTTGATATTTTGTTTTAATTTTCAAGTATAATGTCAACAAAGAATTTTATGAGTCAATGAATGCAAAAGATTCAGTGTTACAGGTCAGTAAAAAATATAGTGTCTTCTGGCATTTTTCTTTCTTCCTTTACTAACACATCTCTAATTTTATTGCTAGAACAAGTTTTTTTACTTTTTCATTTTTATTTTTTCCCCAGCTCTCTTGAGGTATATTTGACAAATAAAAACTGTATATATTTAAGGTATACAATGCGATGTTTTGATATACATATTGCATTGTGAAATGATTACTAAAATCAACCTAATTAACATAACTATCATCTCACAAAGTAATGATTTTATAGTTACATATATTAAACATCAGAATATTCATCCTAAAGAGAGAAAAACCTGCAGATAGGTGTATATCCAGCCCCATTTATAACAGCAAATGTCCAGTAAACAATCTAAATGTCCAAAGAGAACAACAGCCATGGAAAAATAATAGTCACTCAATGGAATACCACACAGCCACTGAAACATACTTGCATGTAAGTCTTGTTTTGAACAAAAATCTCCTACATTTTCTCCATCTGCTGTATTGTTAATGTTTCTGTTTCACTTTTTAAAACTAAGCTTATTGGGCCGGCCTGGTGGCGCACTGCTACAGTGCGCCGCTTGGGAGCGCGGCGGCGCTCCCACCAAGGGTTCGGATCCCACATACAGACCGGTTCCCGCTCACTGGCTGAGCGAGGTGCGGGAGCAGCGCCGAGGGTTGCAATCCCGTTACCGGTCCCGGTCCGGTACGGGCGCGACACTAAGGGTTGCGATCCGTTGCCGGACACGAAAAAAGACAAAAAAGAAAAAAAACAAAACAAAAAAAAAACTAAGCTTATTGTACCAGCCTATATCTCATTAACTTCCTCTCTATTTCTCTAGGAGTCATGTTTACCCAGTAATACTGGCTGGAAATACACCACATTCATACTAGATTCTTAACAGCACCTTAGCACCTCAATACCTGCAATGCCCAGCACAATGGCTACAGAATGAGTGAAATTCCTGAGAGTACTTAGAAAAACCACAAGTATTTTTATTAGACTTACTTTCATCATTTTCTCCAGCTTCCGATGTCACAGTAATGGTGAAGCTGGGTGGATTTTCTGATAATACTGCAAGAAAATATATACAGAAATTAAGTTATATTAACATGCTTCCAAAGGCAGATGCTTTTCTTTATTAGCAAATTATCACTACCTAATCCTGGAAACTGGTCCCTTGCCTGTATTTCCTTTTCCTCAAATACGGACTGAGCACAAAACTGAAATAACAAAAATGTCCATCAACTTTCCATGTAAATTGAGGGTTGTCTTTAATCTGGAAACTAGTACATATAGTAGATAATCCTTTTGGCATTTTACCAAATCAATTAAAATAATTAAGTAGCTTATCTTTTATTTCATAATCTCCACATATATATGGAAAATTACATTCTTAAAAATCCCAAATGAAATGTCAAACGAAGAGTTTGACATTACTCCCCAGAAACTACCCACAAATGTTCATGTTACCACTGATCTTTATACTTATATATTCTGAGGTATAAGTCAGAATCTCCATGGCAAACAAATAATAAATACTGATCTGTTAGTGTCTCTGTCTTCTTGCTCTTTCTCTCCCATATCATCTCTGGAACCAAACTTTATTCTTTAACAAATACTTACTGGGCCTCTACCAACTTTCATGGAATTAATTGTAAAATGAATTAGCTATAAGTCTAAACACCAAATTGTTTAAAGTTTATTAAACAAGACAAGACATTAAGTCAACATTTACATAAATAAGAAAGATTTATATGTCATTTTACAGCCTGATGTCTAGCTAACCTGTATCTCTGTTTATTATCTATTTCCCCACTATAAAATACTATAAAAAGTCTATGAGAGCTCCTAGATGAGTGCCTGAAGGTATCTAGAAACTCAATAAATATAGGCTCACTGAAAGAAGAACTAAACTAACAGAATGAAAGGAGGAAAACAACAGCAAAGAAAACTTATATTCAGAATCATCTGAAGAGTAAACAAGGAAACTTCGAGCCACAAGGATGGCTGCTAAGCCTATGAGAAAAGACTATGTCTCACTCCATGCCTGGGAAGCATTGGCACCTGCCAAGTTTGGCAGCAGCTCTGCAGAGTTTTTCTGAAATGAAAAAGCAGGATCATTGAAGAAGTCACCAAGAAAACTACTCAGCTTTTCCTACTTTGGAACTTTCTGAAGCTCCCATAAATATATATATAATATTTTCAAGACAGATGCTTTCATTTTAATTGAAGCAATGATGAACACCTATGATTACCAGAAAGGTGTTTGCCAGGAAGATAAAAGACTCATTGGACTCATACTTTAATAGGTCTCAGGCAGTCCAGCCTGTGCTGGTAAAGACACTGAAAGGTCTTTATAACATAGCTTTCATAATATGATTGGATTTATCTATTTTTTAACAAATGTGTATAAAATATATTTGATGTATTTCATTCTTATTTCCTTTCATGACCAACTTTAGCATTTACATGTCATGAAATGAAAACACTGTCACTATAGAAATAAGGGTTCAACGCAATGACAATCCAACCCATTACCATTTCTAGGACTCCATGAGACTGTAGGTCAGGGGCAACCTATACCCAATAACAACAGCTAACATTTATTGAGCATCACTTTGTGCCTGTGCTGTGCTATGCACTTACATGATAATCCTCTAATTCTGACAGCTGGACCATAATTTTATACTATAACTAACTACATTTCACCAAATTTAAGATGCCATCAAGTATGAGATACACCTTACTTTATGTACTACTAAGAAAGAAAAATAAGCTGCCAATTAAACTATGATATGTAATCGACTGCAAGACAAATTCATATTTCAGAGATGTTAAGATATAAAAAAGGTGTCTAAGAAACAAACATAGCATAGCATCACTCCAGTTTTATAGATGTGGAAACTGAGACACAGAGCTTTTAAATAATTTGTCCAAGGCTATACAGCTAGTAACTAGCAGAACTGAATAAACTATATAGAGCTTCATTTAAAAAGAAAAACATATTTCCAGCTGAGAAGTTCCAGGGAAGTATTTTTTGGTAGGCTGTAAATGGTGATATGGGCAGCGTATCAGCAAATAGAGATGGAGATGGGGAATGTAGTTGAGGGTACCATGGCAGCAAGGGCATAATAATGGGAAAGCTAAAGGAACAGAAGGGAATAACAAATTATTCCATTTGTTGGACCTATATGTGGGTGAAGAAACCTGACTGAAAAAAACAGTTGAAAGCTTAGTTGTGGACAGTAACAGTTTTCTAGCAGTAATACAGTCAGAATTGTATTTCTCTCTCTTTTTTTTTAAGATGACCAGTAAGGGGATCTTAACCCTTGACTTGGTGTTGTCAGCACCATACTCACCCAGTGAGCACCTGCCATCCCTATATAGGGGTCCAAACCTGGGGCCCTGGTGTTATCAGCACTACACTCTCCCAAGTGAGCCAAGGGGCCGGCCCCCAGAATTGTATTTCTAAACATAGTAAGATAAATCATTTAGCAACCGTGCATAAAACAGAAGGAGGAAAACAAGACTCTAGGCAGGATGAAACTAAACAACTATTATAAGAATCAGGGCAAAGGTAATGAGGTTCTGAACTAGGTTGACAGTGATGGGAATAACAGGAAACAGGGAAGAAGCTAAGAGGGTGACAACATTTTGAATTTGCAGGCTGAGGATGTGCTGCTACTAACACAAATGAGGAATACAAAAGAAAAATCAGACATGTTATATTTGAGTAGGCAGTCAGAAACGGGCAAATGGAGCTACAGAGAGCTAGGCTTTGATTCAATTTGAGATCATCTACAGAGAAGTGATAGCTAAAGCCATTAGACTAAATGCGATCATCAGAGAGAAAACACAGTAGAGAAAAATAAAGGCTAAGAGCAGTTTTGTAAGGAATCCTCAATTTGCAGAACAAAGTAAGAGGAAGAAAAACTGCCAGAGATTAAAAGAAGTAGCCACAACAGATAAAATCTCAAGAGGCAACAGTGTTATGAAAATCAAGGAAAGAGAGAACTGGGAAGAGGTAAAGGATGATTCTTCCATCCCACCCCATCCTGCCCACTGTCTCTTGTCACAGAGTTTTCTAGTGAGCAGATTTTACCACATCATTAGCTGCCTGTAGCAGCAGATCTCTATCTGTACACAGTGGGTTGGGATCAGATGTGAGAAAGAGGTGGAGTTGTAGCTAACACTCTAGAAAACATGCATAACCCAAAGCCTATTTTATTGTGAACCCACCCTAACTATCAGGATCTGGGTCTGACATGGCAGTGTCTACAATGTGTACCACACTGCCTGTGAAGCTACGTGGGGGGAACAAAATGGTCACTGAACCATTGTCCTGCAAGATCATTTCTAAATCCCCGACAAGGCCCTCTGTGGTCTGGCCCCTGCTTACTTGTCAGATCTCATTTTCCATGACGTTCACTTCTCACTTGATGTTCTAGAAATACCAAACCACTTGTCCTTTGAACGCTTTTTGACCTCTCAGAGTCCTGCTTCTGCACATGCTGTAAGGACCTGGAATACCCTTCTCCCCGTGTCATTCACTTGTTAGCTCCTCACCATGCCTCGGTTCTCCAAAACAACTTGGACTGTCCTCTCCCTAAATTTACATGACATCTGTTTCCCTATAGACTGAGTTCCTAAAAATGTGTATAATATATATTTAGTAAATGAGGAAACCAAAAGGACATAGGGATGTTGGCAAGAATATTAGTGAACTGCCTGCCCTTGGGAGTCAGATAGAATAGGGAGGCAAGATGGACCAGAAAGAAGCTGATGAACTATCAATCCATGAGAAATCATGATAAAAGGCATTTTCAGTAAAAGCACAGAAACAAGAGTTGCAGGACTACAAAGATTATGGACAGAAAGAGGAATTTCAGAGGCCAAACTTTTGGAGATGGCATTTCCAACCTGTGGCTATACTCAGGTGCAGCTGAAGGAAGTGGCAATCAAAATAGTTAGTGGATAAAAAGACAGGAGTTGTGAAGCCACATTATTAAAGAATCAACAACTAAGATGGTAAATTTCTAGTAAAGAGTATCTTATATTTGTTTAACAATTATAAAGTATTTACTTACATTATTGCCCATATGAAAACTGAGGCTCGAAGAGGTGATATGATTTGTCCAAGGACACTACACCATGCTGCCACTATTGAGAAAAAAATGTAAACTAGGTACAGGAAGGATATTGGAGAACACTGCTAATAGTCCCCCAATATCCACTCTCCCCTTGTTATAGTTATACCCTTTTAAACTGACATACTGACCACCTAGAACAAAGAGCACATTTCCCAGACTCCCATCCAGCTAGGTCTCACCAAAGGACTAAGTCACAGCTAACAAGATAGGAGATATGTCCTTTGACAGTTTCCAGGAAATTTCCTTAAGAAACCATCATTTACTTCTTTTTTTCTTCATGTTATCTACCTACTATGGCTTAAATGTGTTCCCCAAAAGTTCATCTATTGAAGCTTGATTCCCAATGTGGCAGTGCTGAAAGGTGGGGCCTTTAAGAGGTGATTGGATTGTGAAGACTCTGCTCTCATGAATGGACTAACCCATCACGGAGTAATGGGTTAATGGATGAGTGGGTTGTCACAGGAGGGTTACTGATGGCTTTAGAAGGAGAGCAAGTAAGCACATTAAAGTGCTCTCACTTTTGCCATTCTTGCCATGAGATACCCTGCGTCACCACAGGACTCTGTAGAGAGTTCCCACCAAGAACACCCTCAACCTGATGTGCCCCAGGAGCCTGGACTTCCCAGCCTCCAATACTGTAAGAAATAAATTTCATTTCTTTATAAATTACCCAGTTTCAGGCATAAGCAACAGAACACAGACTAATACACTGTCCTACTGTCTGGAAAGGGAATGCTGCCATTTGACCATTACGAATGTCAGAGAGCTAAGTTAGACCTGGATTCCTGAGGAATTCTTGGACCAGGGCTGCCACAACTCTCTTTTATGTGCAAGAGCAATAAACTTTCATCTTTTTTTTTTCCTTTTTTGTCTTTTTTCGTGTCCGGCAACGGATCGCAACCCTCAGTGTCACGCCCGTACCGGACCGGGACCGGCAACGGGATCGCAACCCTCGGTGTTGCTCCCACACCTCGCTCAGCCAGTGAGCGGGAACCGGTCTGTATGTGGGATCCGAACCCTCGGCGGGAGCGCCACCGCGCTTCCCAAGCGGTGCACTGTCTAGCAGTGCGCCACTGGGCTGGCCCCAAACTTTCATCTTTTTAAAAATTAATGTTATTTGACGTTCTCTGTCACAGCTGAACCTAATCCTAAAATACTACTTCTTCTTCTACTACTACTACTACTACTACTACTAATGATAATACAGGGTAAGGAGTAATATTCCAAAGTCAGGCAATAACTAAAATAGAAATGGAAAAGTTACTTAATTGGATTTTCAAAAATAGATGATTCCTGAATTTTGATAAAGGAATAATACCATTCTAATGCATTACTGTGAGTTGGGACAAGTAGAGGAAAGATTAGTCTTCACTAAGGATGCCAGACTTCCACCATTGTAATTAAAATACTTTTGAGAAAAAGAATAAGGCTTGGGGCATCGTGGAAGGAACCAGTGTAAGGGCAGAAGAGACAGTAGGTGAAATAGGGGTAAATGATGGTAAACTTAACAAAATTAAGAATTTTGTCAAAAACAAATAATGGAGGTAGTGGTTAAAAGGTACACTAAAGGAGTACACAAATGACCTTAGTTTTCACAAAGAACCAGAGAGCCCTTACTAAAATAAATCTCTTTAGCTGTTAGGGAGTCTCTGTCCTTTCAAAAAGTATGTCTTAGAAAAACTGCTTTTACAAGATGATTTCTACCCTATTTCTAAGAAACAATTATAACTGCTAAATGCTAATGGCTGCTAGTTAGAAGTATGCACACAGCAAATACAGGATTATGTACCCCTCCTTGTAAGGCAAACAGAAATATGGGAACTTGGCTTTTGGTTAACCTGAGGCCAACCAATTTGTTCCAACAAAACTCCCCACAGCAGAAATTTTGATACAGAAATGGAAATAACCAAATTCTACTACCTTAGCAGGACCTTGTCAAGTGAAGCACTACTGAAGGAGAATGTGGTATCAGGAGAGTCCATTTATATTTTGGAAGACTAGTTGTTAGGAGGGTTGGATCAATGTGCAATCAAGCTACAGAATAGGCAAAAAGAAGAAACTGTATTATGATTTGTTATAATTCACAACAAATGCAACATTGGACCAAAAGTTCTTTGCAAATAGTCAAGCAATTAATTCTGAGATTAGGCTAGGTCTATGGGCTGGAGTGTGCCTCTTCAGCATCCACATGGGGTCACGTGTACTTAACAAATGCTTCTTTGTCAAGCATTCAATTATACTGCTTAAAGAAAAAAAAGTCTGTCTACTTCCTTCATCAATAACATTAAGCATGTACCAAATCTAATATTAAATGTTATGAAGTTAAAAAACTTCCTATTAGTGTTCCTTGGCTAACTGACACAAGCAAGCTCTCTTTCTTAAACCTGGCATGAAAATTCGAAAGTATGGAATCATAAACACAAAAGAAGGCTGTAAAACAGCAAACCTTGCCAATCCTCAAGATTTCAAACGATCAAACATGGAAATATTTTATTTCAAAGTCCTCTGCCTTTCCCTACAAGGTTTCATAAAGAACATGATCACAAATAAGGCAAAGTTCCCTGAGAATTATAAATCAAAACATCTTATTTTAATTTATTTATTGCAGTTTGTAGGGATGCTGACAGGAATTAGAGGCAGATGGGCACAACTGATACTGCAGAATACTTGAATGCATCAAAAGATTTATAACTTGTCTTTTATATACCCTGGCTCAGAATCCTCAAGCACTTGTGCATCTGACAAGAATTTTACATACTGAACTATACCAGAGCTGTCAGTGCCTAGTACAATTTGAAATACTCAGAAGATTGTTTTAAAGTTAAAAATGTATTACTTTTAAACATGCTTATATGCACAGGATTTAATGAGGGTTACTTTATGTCCAAAGAAATGAAAATAGCACATCCTATGCTTTCTTGACTCTGCCTACACAGTGTTCATGCCTGTTATATTTCCAAAGTACTGGAAATGACTAAACATCGTGGTTAAGAACATATCCAACAACTGACCCTATATTCTATTTTATTTAGACATCGACAAATAAGCAAGGATAGAGAAGGGAGCCAGACTCCATACACACTCACCCAGTTATGACACTCTCAAACCCCTCTTCACTCACTCCCTTAACATCCTCACAGCACAGCTGTACTGCTGGTGAGAGAGAACATGAACAGGACTGGAGCTATACAGGGATAGCTGAGAGACATCTGCCTGTTGGCAAAGCAGAACAAAATTTGCTACCATTGCAAGCAGTGGTCAAAAGCTAGAGCCAAGAAAACTAAGCTAAACAATGAAAGGCAGAGGAGTTGGAGTTTATGAGTTAGGGTAACATACCTTACACTAAATTCTGACAATCAAAGATGGACAACACTCAAAGGAAGGGATGGGGAATGTTAAACCCCACAAATCTCCGTTCTATTCACTTTTATAGGCTTTATTTGACCACTTCTCAAATTTGAGAGAAGCCATATTGATATAGTTATCTTGTAGCATTTCCAGAATCATCTGAAGCATGGCTTAATACAGAAGAATTCTCTACTTTAAAACACACCTAATGAACTTCTCATTAACAATATTTTACACCAACCCAACCTACCAAGTAATCTTCGGCTCCCCCTTATCTCAGCTGAAGCTGGATATCAAGTCCCACATGTCTGGAAGGTTAAGGAACAGGAGAGAGTTCCAGACCAAATTCCTAGCACCAGCTCTGCCGATAACTCGATGGCGGAGTCACTTACCTTTCCTGAGCCTCCACTACCTTGGGTGTAGCAGGAGTCCCAGACTAGACGGTGTCTAACATCCCTTCCACTCTAACAACCTATGAATCTACAGCGGAACAGAAATTTGAGCCAAATCATTCATTAGGCACTCTGCAGAATGCCAGAATTTTTTTTTTTTTTTTAAAGAAAAGAATACCGACAAACATCAGGTACTTTGCTACTTTCAAACTAATTCTGGGTAATTCTGAGAGCAGCACTCTGAATCCCTCAAACTTCAAAATACCATCGTAAGAAAAACAGCCTCTACCTCATTATAGGTGAAAATGTGAAAACTGACACCTTTGCGGCTCTGGAAAAACTAATCTCACTTGGACAATCTTTCCTTTTAACGTATTTCACTAAACCTCGGGTTGCTGCGGGTTACCCCAAAACCAAAGTGTTCCAGACTCAATTCCAGGCCTGACACTCTCCGGGGACCTCACCAGCGTCACCCGACTTTCAGATTTCAGAGAACATGCGGAGATGGGGAAACAGCCATTGAAGTTACCGATAAGTGACTTACGACCCTGAGGAGGGTAGCGGGGGAGGTGGCCGCGCGGCCTCGCTGTCCCCTTCTGCATCCCAATCCGGGAGGCCGAGGGCTGCAGCGCCTCCTGCCCGTCCCACTCCACCTCGAGGCGGCTGCGAGCTCCCGGCCGCGGAAGTCACCTGTGAAGGAGTCGGGGTAGATGGACTCCAGAGCCTCCAGCTCGTTGCGCTGCTCCTCTCCGTAATCTGTCATCGTGGCCCTCGCTGCTGCCCATGGATCGCCCAGACACCCAGGCGGCGCGCTGCAGCCGAGACCTGGAGAGCGGGCCGCGGCCGGGCGGGCGCAGGCGCAGAGTTCCCGGGTGGTAGGCCCGGGGCCCAACGCCAGGCCCGGCCTGCTGAGCAACAGCCCCGCGCCGGCCTCTGCCTGCTCCCTAATTCTGCGTTCGACTCGTTCGGCCTGGCCAGAGGGGCACTGATTGCCGCCTGCCCCGCGCCTGCTCAGGATTTGCTGCGATGGTGAAGGGGTCCTGTCTGGCATTCGCCAGGGACACCTAGAACCGGCTCCTGGGCTTTGCAGGGCCTGAGCCTGAGAAGCTCCTCAGCGCGGCATCTTCGCTCGATGAGTCTGGGCTGTTGGCCGGCCTCGCGCACCTAAGCGGGACTGTGCAGCTGGTGGAGGGGCGCAGAGGACGTCAGCCAACTGTCACCTTTTCCAGTTTCCGGCTTGTGACCCTGTCGCCCCGGCGCCGCAGACATGCGGCCTAGTGGTGTCTCCGAGTGGTGTTTGAGAAGTTTCTGCGCTTCTCTACTCCAAATGGCTTGGGGTTCCACGGAGTTGGGCGAGGGGCTGGGACCAGCGTAGAATCCAGTGAGCAGAGGAGCAAAACCTCTGCTACTGCGTCGGGCTGGTTCAGAAGGGGTGGTCCAAAAAGTCCTGGTCAATCCGGGGGAGAAATCCACTGAGTCCGGAGATCTGGCTTTTAGGTTCGGATCTTTAGGCTTCACTTTTGAATGTGTGAAATGAACGTGACTGGACATAGACCTAAAGATACCTGAGATTGTACATTTCTGTGAATTATTGAGGGGATGTAGAGTTTAGTGACAGTTTTGGTGTGCAGTGCAAAAATTGCAATACCCCGAAAAATGTTCATAACCTTTGATTTTGTAATAACACTTCTGAGAATAAGTCTGAGGAAATAGTATTTAAAATATGTACATCTGTCATCTCCAAGCTCATGGCAGCTTGGAGAAATTTTCAAAGAAACGTGGTGGCAGAAAGCTAAGAAAAAGGCTAAATAAATATGGTACTTTTATGAAAAGAATATTAAACAACTATTTAGTTTTATATTTATCTTCATACTCTAACGTGTTGAAAGATTTTTTCCCACTGTTCTGTATTTTTCTTTGTTTTGTTTTCTGTATTAAAGCTGGTTTCACTTGTATAGTGGGGGCAACACTTTTTAAATAAGAAACTCCCTAATGATGAATGCTCTGAAGTTTTCTCTTGTTAAAATGATGATGTCCCATGGGCCAGAAGGCATTTTGATTTCTTATTGGGAAATATTCTTACTTATAACAGAGGAATACTTTAAAACAAACATATTCAGGCACACTTTGATATTGATTCCGTGTTTTAAGTATTAAGGGTTGATTTGGGGCATTCTTTTAAACTCTCAGGGAAAATGTGGAAGCTCTCATGACCATGGTGAGAATCAAATAAAATACCTGAAGTAACTTTGCAAATATAAAGTGCTTATTTTTGTGGATAGCCTCAGTTTGGAGGAATTATGAGGAATTATGGTTTGTTGTTGGGAAAGCTTCTGGGCAGAGGGAACAGCCAGTACAAAGGTCCTAAGGTGGAAACCCACCTGGCATGTTGGAAGCCAGTGTGACTGGAGCATAATGAACTGGGGGAGAGGAGAGAGGTGATTGCAGATCGTGTAGGATCATTGGACTGTTTAAATAGGACAGTGACAATCTGACTCTACTTTAGAAATACCACTGTGGTCACTGTGGTGTAAATATACTTAAGGTGGATAAAGTCTGAAAGTATGGACACCAATTAGGAGGCTATGGCAGTAATCAAAGCAAAAGACAGTGATAACTTGGACCAGAACAGCAGTAATAGATGTGATGAAGTAGTGATCAACTTCTGGATATATTTTGAAGGTAAGAGTTGACAGGATTTGATGTGTGTTGTAAGAGAGGACTCAAGAATGATTTTTGGCTACAACTGGAAAGATGAAGTTCTGTTGAAAAAAATGACAAGTGAGGAAGACAAAATGAGTTTGACAAGAAGGAGTTTTCTTGAAGGGTAGTGAATCTCAGTAATACCTTCTAGCCTAACTGACCTCCCTGCTCCCTCCCATATCTCCCACAGTCTACTCTGACTCAACACAGCAGCCAGGGTGATCCTGTTACAATGTAAATGAGGTCATGTAATTCCTTTGGTCATAACTGTTCCCCACCCCCATCTCAGATTAAAGGCCCATTTCTTTACAGTACAGGCCATATAGAATCTGGATCCCTGACCCTCACCTGTAGCTCATTTCCTCTGTGACCTTATCTCCTATTACTATGCCACCTATTCTCTGCTCAAGCCTCACTAGCCTCTTTGCTATTCCTCCAACATGCAGGTCACATTCATCTTAGGACTATTCCCTCTGCCTGGAATGCTGTTCCTTCTGTACCTACTCACTCACCATGGCTCACTCCCTCACCTCCTTCAAGTCTTTCCTCAAATGTCAGTTTCTCAATGAAGCTACCTGAACCAGACCATGGTACTTAAAATTACAACCACTCTCTTCTCAGTACTACCTACTCCCTTGACCTTATTTTATATTTCCCGTGGCATTTTACACAACTCTCTCTCCTCCTAATAGAATGTAAGTTCCATGAGGGCAGGGATCTTTGTTCACTGCTGTATTTTAGCACATGCAGCAGTACCTAAAACAGAATAGGCACTCATAAAATATGAGGGTACTTTTTGAAGTACCACCCCTTGTATTTACTCTCTGAATGAATGAATGAATGAATGAATGAATGAACCCAATGGGGCGGTATGGTTCTAAAAGCACTGGACCAAGGGGTTATAAGACTAGGTTGCAGGTCTTCTTTACTATTAATTTACCATATGAATTTGGGTAAGACATAACCTCACTGGGTCTCAGCTTTCCCATCTATAAAATAAGGGAGTTGCATGAAATAATCTCTGAGATTCTTTCCAGTTGTAAAAGCCTATGATTCTTCTGATCATGCTCTATATTGGGGCCAGTTATGTGGAACCAGACTTCAAAATTGGCAGTTAACTTCTCTGACCCAAGGTGTCATGGCCATAAGAGTAGTATTTCTATGGGTGGAATTGTTACTCTCCTTGATGCTCATGTTCTTGAACCATGTAGCAGATGGGCACCTCAATTGTGGGCAGCAACAAAGGAGGGACAACTGTAGTTTTAAGTGGGCCACACTTCTAACATTAACTTGTATGTAAGAACAAAGTGAGGTAGGCAGACAAGAAAAGAATTTGTACATGTTCCTTTTCTCCCACCCTACTAATGACCATTTTGATAATATTGATCTTTTTGACTTTCTTTCCTTCTGCCTCCTTCCTCCTCTCTCTCTGTCTCTCTCTGACACACACACACACACACACACACACACACACACACACACACCCTACCCTTTAAAAGGGACTGGGTGGGGAAGGAGGAGAAAATGGAGAAGTAAAGAGGTATGGAAGAAGATAGGGTTAGTGAAATGCAATATAAATGACTTAAAATATACACAAGAAAAACTTGAAATTTAAGTCATCAATTCTTTGGCTTCCTGCAAGAAAATATAATGAAGGGTTGAGTCAGGGTTGCTCTTAAGATATGCAGGGTCCTGGCTGCAAACATTTTGGGGGGGCCCTTGTTTATATAAACAATTTTATTTAATTGTATTAAGCATGTAATTTGGGCTGGCCGGTTAGCTCAGCTAGTTAGAGCGCAGTCTTGTAACACCAAGGTCAAAGGTTCAGTTCTCCATACCAGCAAGCCACCAAAAAAATAAATGTAGTTTTAAAATTCATGGGCCCCTGAAAGATATAGTGACTTACTGATGAAGAGTTAGAAGAAATAATAGAGGTACATATACATTTGTTTGTTGTTTAATCAGCATGCATGAAGATTCTCTGTAGCATCCGTGCACCAGCTCTTCCTGCTGGGGTAGACAAACTGTCTCTTCATGTTCTTTACTCTCAAATGCTCCGTTCCTGTCTCATTTCATACCTCTCACCGTGCTCTAAAAAAAAGTGGCAGAGCTGTTATTACGCATCATGCCATGGCTTTTTGTCATCTGTATTGAAACAATATAGTTATTCTTGCCTCTGCAGTATCCTATTACTGTTTATGTAATGCTGGTCACATCGTCACTCTTTAAGCTCCATCATCCCTCGTGCTGCTTCTGATACTGGCTCCCATTGACTTTCTGAAAAAATGTGCCTACCTGATGATGACCAGAAATGCAAATCTTACCCTAAGTGTGCAGGAAAATGTGAATGATCATTTGTTTTCTAGTCAGTTAAATTTACCACCCATCTTCCCACCGTGTCTTTTCTTGAATACTTTAGGCCACAGTAACTGCATCTCAATGACTAGAATGAGATGTTGAATGAGATGTTTCAATGTTGGCTGCACACATGGCCACCAGGAGCGAGGTCTGGCGAGGTACCCGTGGGTGGCGCCGGACGAGTGGTCCCATTCCAGCGCAAGGAATGTCCTTGACCAAGCCGGGAGATCCGGGCCGCGGTGCAGCGCGCTGAGGGACCGACCCGCCGCCACCTCGTCGGCTCCCGCGCTGTGGGTGGGGGTTGGCACCTCTGGTCACAGGCCCCGGGACTCGCCACTTGGGACAGGAAGGGAGCGCGGGGAAAGGCAGAAACGAGCCCAGGCGGCGGAGTCCAGCGTGGGGCACCCTGACGGCGGCCAGTACCGAACTGATTATATAGTCATTACTCTAGCTGTGCCAGGAGTAACTTGGGTGTTTTTTGCTTTGGGTTTTATCTTTCCCACAAAATATAAACCTTCCTCATAGATCTATTGAATCATTATTTGCTAAAGATGCTTATTTTGTACGCAGCTTTCTCAAATTCAAGTTATCTAAACATGAGAGAATGGTAGGTATAAACATATCAGTAATAGGTCAACTACTCATGATGTACGAAATTCATACAATCAATAAAACACCACATAGATCCATTTTTTTTTTTTTTTTTTTTTTTTTGCTTTGGCATATGCTTTCCCCCATTTCAAGTGCTGAAATATGTTTACTTTATCAAATAGTCCATAGTATACGTTCTGTTGATAACCACTAACTGGCAATTACACAAGGAAAATATATTTAAATGGTTTTCATTTGTAGCTTAAGATGAAACATCTATAAATATATAAAAATTTTATATTCGGTTATTTCTGCATTTAAGAACACCTTAAAATATCAGAACACATTGTACATATTTTATTTATTTATAAAATACTATGTATAGATATTTATTTTCCAGGAGCAACAGTTTTGTGTAAGATGGAACATCATCGCATGTAGAATCATAGGATGCTTGTGCAAGAAACAACCTTGAAGAGGTCTGTCTCAATCCAGAGGATGTCATTCAGCTGTTATCTAATAAAATCATTACAGTTTATAAATAGGAAAGCCCGTCATTTGTAAAGGACTTTACAAAATTCTTTCACATTTTCTACGTTATTTAATGTCGTTTCAGAAAGTTATTTTCTAATATGTGACTCTAGCTGGGACTATGTTGTAAGGGGTAAGTAGGATAATTAGTTTAAATCGGCTGGTGTGTAGTGAGCACTACATACATATTATTTTACTTCACTGTCTCCACTACAAATGAATGAAGACACTTGTATGGACCACTGGGTGGCAGCAGAGGAAACCTTAAAATCCATTTTCTTTCTGAGTACTGGTGCAGAGATTAGAGAAGCTTAATTGTACTCAGTAATTAGTTCAGAAAAATAATTCAGGTCAGGAGTAATGCAATTTGCCTCTCTGGAAATACCAGTCTTTGCTCTTTGGTCGAGGGGTCACATTTATGGATTTGTGACCCCCACCCCCAGCTCAAGGAGCCAGTTGTGTAGTTTTCTACTCTCCTCAGCTGCCAATATCTGCTCTTTACTGACCAGTGCTAAATTTTGGTATACTCTACTTAGAAGCTAAAGTGATATCTCTACACCCTATATTTTTGAGGTAACAAATAGCTACCTAGTCTTGCATTCAGACTTGCATTTGGTTGGCCATGATACTTAAAAGTTTTAGTGTTAATGTGATTTCCCTTTGTGCTATAAGCCAAATGCAAGAAAACACTTAGCAAAATCACATAGTTGTTTCTTATTACAATCATGCATTAGGATTTTTAAAAAAATAATTAAAGACTGAGAACACAGAAAAGAGACAGAGAGGATAACAGTATAAGTGCAGTTCTGCCATTCAACTTTGGAAAACGTAAAGAAAGCTGAGCAAATCTAAACATTGGGTTTGTATTTGTCTCCTGGGAAGGAAGCAACCTAGATTGTGGTGGGGGAGTGGCAGAGCTGACAGAGTTGAAGTTAAGAAAATGAACAAGTCTATATAAGCCATAGAATTTGATGTGGTAGCCAAAAGCATTTGGTAGCAAAATATAAGGTAGTATTAGACATAATTGATTTTAATTATATGTTTTGTGATTACGTAAATTCATAGGCATAAAGGAAAGGAAATACCATGTTCTTAATGGAAAAGTTTTGTCTAGCTGGCTGTGGAGAAAAAGAATACTCTAGACAAAAAGGAAAAAGAAAAGACCAGGAATTCGATTTATTTGATTTGAAGTGGATAATATGCAATGAAATTCCAAGGATATATACTACCCTTTAAATGTTCACACAGATGCTATAAAGCACTTTGAAGCCATGTAGAAGAGCCAAAGAATATTTACAATCCTTTGCCAGAAAGTTATAGTGGACGATCGTGATTAACTGGCTCAAAATGTAAACTTTATGTGTCATACTCTGAAAGAGTTTGATGTAGAAAGGGCTTCAGAAGCTAGTGAAAATAAAGTTTCCTGGCATTACGGTATAAACAACTATTAATCTTCTTTCAGAAGATGTAATGCTATAACTTCATACGTTCTTTGATTTTGCTGTTAACTGAAAATCTTATTGAAGAGTCTTAACTGTGGTATAGTTCCTGAAAACTAATAAACTGATTCTGAGCACTGTGTAAAGTGTTCAATTAACTTGTATGTCTTAATGCAGGAATTTCAAAATTTTTCAAATAGAGCCATAGAATTTTAGAGCTGTAGGAGATTTTAGAGAGCAAAATGGATGTTACCTTCCATATTGATATAGCACATTATATCAGAGTGAAACTAGAACTCCAGTTGCCTTCCAGAAGGTGCTTCTATTTTTGTTTTTACATGTTTCTTGTTATGACATATCATACTGAGTATAGACTTAATTGACAAATTGGAATAGCTTTTCTTGACCACTTGAAAAAGATCCATGAATTAACATTCTTTTAGAAGTAAAATGCCAGTAAATGTCTTTAGAGAAAGCTCAGAGTCAAATTCAGTGGTATTTTTCTTCCAAAAGAAATGAGCTGGGCCTACTACCATTCCAGAAGGCTGTATACATATAAGCATAAATACAAAAATCTTGTTAGATTTAAAAAGGACCCCAAGAATTCATTTAGTTCAGTTCCTTGCCTTCCAGCAGGTAAGGTATCATTCTCTATATTTTATAGATGAGACAATTAAGGCCAGACAGATGAACTAACTAGTCCAAGGTTAAATAACAATAAGTAATGGTGATGGCAAGTCAGGCCACCTGTCCTAGCAAAGTACTACACTATGCAGTTTCCTATCAGTAAACAAAAACCTGAAAACATTTTGTTTCCTTAAAAATTCATTTTCTGCTTGTTTCTATTAAGTTGAAGAGCCCAGAATTTTACACAAAATAGAATCTTCCATAATTGTGTAAAAGTAGATTACCAAGTAACAACTGCATTTAGATAGTCAAGTTGTTTGGTCTCCTTGAAAGTGAATCTTGAAAGTCAGGTTGATCATTGGCAGTTGATTTGGCTAAATAAATAAATAAAAGCCCTCATATTCCTTACTTAAGCCAATGAGCCAATTGCTTAGGTGAATGTGGCAAAAATCAGGCATGAGACACCATATACACATATATGACAGAAATATTAAAGATAAGTAGGAAACCGTCAAATACTAGAGGTTGCATTTAGCAAAACTAGGCAGAGAAAAGTCGGGCAGATATTAGCCCCTTTTTGAGTCCTAGATAATGAATATACAAGTATAGGTGGCAGTCTTGGTTCCCCAAATGGATTTTGAGTGCAAAGGTGCAATTTGATAACAAAAAGGCACAGAAAGTATCCCCGTAGTGGACACAGAGGTGAAGCTTTCTAGAATACACTTTATATGTAGTGGCTATAAAAATGCTCCTACTATGGAGGTGCTGCAAATAACATTTATGATACTAATGGTGATACAATAATGGATCATCTTCCTCTGGTTACAGCAAAATGATTCAAGACCTCTTTGCACAGTTTAGAAGAAAAAGGAGGAGGCAGTGAAAAGTTCATGGATATTGTATGGAGGTAGAAATAGAGAAAACTAGAACTTAGAGGGAGAGAAAATAGTGATAGAAAACGTGGAATGCAAAGAGGAAAGGAAAAGGTAACATTTATTGGCATTTATTTTATGAAAGGCACTGTGCTGAACCCTGCTTAAACTCTTATCACATTTAATCCTCACAACAGCTCTATGAGGTAGCGACCATGCAGATGACAAAATGCACTCAGGAATACTATTTTTCACATAGCTAATAAGGAACAGAACTAAGATGCAAATTTTGATATGACTTCAAGTTCCATATTGTTTTTAATTAGGCCAATATGACACTAGAGGTATTATTAGACCACCAAAAAATTTTCAAAAAGAGGGAGTTATTAGCACAATTATCAGATAAGATGATTTTTGAAATAATATTTTGGATGGACTTAAGTAAACAGATATCAAAGAGAGAGAAACAGATGAAGAGATTACACTGAAACTCCATCATCATAAAAATGAAGTATCAGTTAAGTAACCTGAATTGCAAAATGTGCTATTCTCAAGGTTTTAATTCAATACCTTCTGGTTTGTTTTCTTCATTATCTTCCTCCACCCTGTCTCCAAGGAAGCTATAGTGACCTTGCAAGTCATCACCCATGCATAGAAAACTGGGTGCTGAAATCTCTCTCCAGTCCTGACGTGAAGGAATTCGGATGTGTTTGACATCTTCACTCCCAGGAATGAAGCCAAATAGTTTCTTAATGCGCCGCAGGATGAGGAGCCTGGAGTGCTGCTCTGCGGCTTGTTCAAAGAGCTCTCTCTCATTCTGGAGGTGCCTGGTCCAGTAGGAATGCTGCAGGGTGGTGAGGGGGGAGCAGCACCTCGCCACACAGCGGGACACCAGGACAGCGATGGTTGCCAAGGTGATCAAAATCCAGCCCAGCATCTTCACGGAATTATTAAAAGAAAAACAGAAAGCATCAATACATCAAATATTCAAGAGACACACTTGGTAGGAGGGATTCCTACAAAACTGAGAACTAAAATGTGAATAAGAAATGTGTTTTTCCAGTCTTTAATATATTAACAAGGTGCTGCTCATTTGATGTGGAAATAGGTCTAATGGACAGTATAGGCCCAGCCATTTCAACTTGGTTTTTGGATTACAAAGGAATTTTCCCAGTTAACTGGGCATGGATTTTTGGAATGGATTCTAAGCACTGTCCTTTTTGTTTTAGGTGACAGATGCTATAACCTACCAATTAACCTTACATAAGATACATAAATAGTGTTCTTTGCTTTTAGCTCAACCTTACTTCTCAATTATCAGGTACAGGCCCATGCACTCTTTGGGCGCCTAATAAATATTTGATAATGATGGTGATGAAAATGATTATATGATAGGTAATAATGGTGGCCTCCTTAGGTGTCTTCGATGATGTGCCAGCAAGTATTTATTGATATTTCTTCCTGAGTTGCTCTTTTCTCTTATGTTTTGCAGCCAAAGAAGAAAGTCATGAGCAGACTCAGGTCTCTAAATGTATTACTGGTGGTAGAGTCACCATGGCTTGTAGTACCTATTGTTTTCCTTTCCATTGCCTTCCCCCTCAAATGGTAATTTGCTGACAAGTTTTATTACATGTCTTTGAAACATACTTTGAAAGGAAAATGAACTAGTTTTTACCTGAGACTATTTAGTGTCAGCTTCTAAAGACTGATATAAATGGCTGTTTTCTAGTCTTAGAATCCTTTTTTTCTCTTTTTTACTCTTTTGTCAGTATTTAGTGGTTGTTATGTAAAGTGAGAGAGAAAAGTTCCACACATGTAGGGAAGCCAACAGTATGGAGCGAGTTTGGGCAGCAAAGGCCTCTTCTGCATCTTGTGATTCACCAGCAGGCCTGGAGTTAGCTGTGTGTGCACAGTGGGAGAGGTGCACTCTAGGGAGGCTAAAACCTGCAAAGTGATATTCGTTACCATTTAACTTAATAGAGGCCAATATGGTGGAGGAAAAGTAATTTTAGATGCCCATTAATTCATCAATTATCATTTATTGAGCTCCAGGTTGACCTCCCACTATATGCAGTGTTTGGTACTTGGTAATGGGGACTGAGATGTAAATAATTTTAATTTTAAGGTACATTCATTCTCTCTAGTCATTAAGCCTGAAGGGGGAGAAAAATGAGCAAGGCAAGAAATATGGTGCAATGTGATAGTTTCTGATGCGAGTAAACACAACACCTGAGGACGCACAATGGAAGAGAAATGAACTGATTTAAGGAGAGGATCCTCAAGAAATACTTCTTAGAGGAGATTATGCTCAGATTTAATTTATTAAAAAGAAGTTCAGATGCAAGAAGTCGAGAAGAATTCTAATAAAAGACAGAAAAATAAGAGCATGAAGAGTTGGGAGAATCTCAAGAAATTTGTATTTCCAGGGTCATGGGAGTCATGTGGAAAAGTGGTCAAGGGACAGATATTGAACGACCTTGTATGTCGTGTCAAGGAATTTAGATTTGTGCTTAAGCTGGTACAAAATCATTGAAGGATTGTGGGGGCGGAGGGGTTGGAATCTCATCATCCAATTTGTATTTAGAAAAATGCAATTGGCATGTGAGTAGAAGGCAAGTTGAAATGGGGTGAAACTATGTCAAGAAGATATTTTAGAATGGGGCATGCACAAAGAAGATCTTGTGGTCAACCCAGGAAAGTCCAGCAGAAAAACAGTGAATACGAAGTTCATGGAAAGATTCATGTTATCTTTTGAATTTATTTTTCCATGAACTTTTTGAAGTACCCTCATATTCCTCCAATGAGATTGAAGTTCAAGGTAGTTGAGAATGTGGCCTAGTGAAATGGAAACAGCATAATCTCTGGATATCTTATCAGCCATTATTTGCTCTACGAACTTACATAAGTTCCATAAGTTCTTTGAGCTTTGGTTTACTCATCTGTAAAATGAAGTTAATAATATCTGCCTCTCATTATTATGAGGAATAAAGTTAAGATATGAGATATTTACACAGTATATGATAAGTATCTCAATAGATATGTTTTGTTTTACAAAAGCAAAAAATCTACCAGTTGTGGTACACAGAATTGTAAAACTGTCTTTTCACAGATGTCTGTGTATACATTTAATAAAACATTTTGTTTAGACTTTAAGAAAATCTTACCATTGTGTATTACATTTTAGTTTTTCTTAAGCAAGACCATTTTTGAAAGTTAAAATTGTCCCATTGATTTTTTGACTTTTAACATATCTTCACATAGCTCCTCTGCCTGAGCTTTAGGGCTGGCATTTAAAAAGTTGAAGCAAAGCATATCTTTATGGGATTTCTAACTTTTCTTAAATTAGGCCATATTGCAACATTTGGTATGCTGTGCCTTGATAGTAATTTTTTCAACTAAGTAGTATTAGCATTTCTAAATTTTAATAGCTGAAAGGTCACAGATCAAAAAATACATATGCCTTTGCAATAAGTAGTTTAAAAAATAATGTGTTTTTGCTTTATTGCAGTGATTTAAAAGTGAATTTTTTCCCCAAATCCCTTGGAGAAACTAATGAAAACCAATAGCTTTCTCAACTGACAAAACACCAATGGCGCTTTTAAAATTTAACCTGTAAGTGTAGTAGGTTCAGGCTTTCCTCCCACCCTACATTCTGACACAAACCTGTCCATGGACACTAAATTTAGAAATCACTGTTGGAGTTTTTTTTAAATCAAAATCAAGTTTCCTGTAATTTTAGGTGAGATTTTATTATATAAGAATGCATATTTAAGCATTTAAGCATATATACTCATATATGCAGAAAGATGGGATTTAGTAATATAGTACCAATAATATTCATAATAATATCTAAAATTCATTATTTTTATTATAGATTCTGGGGACAGTACTGAGCACTTTAGATGGATTAGCTCCTTTATTCCTCATAATAACCCTGTGTGGTAGATACTATTAATATCCCCATTTTACAGTTGAGGAAAGTGGAGCACGGATAAACTATACAACTTACTCAAGGTTTTGCAGGTTAATAAGCGTCAAAGCAAAACTCAGACCCAGGTCTGCTGACTCCGAAGCTCAACATCGTAACTATACTGATACAGCTGCTCAGTAGAACTCAATTTGATGAATGGCATCTAGTTTGTGTTCTAATATCAGACATATGAGAAGCAGAAGGAATGTGAAATATTTCCAGCAACTGTAGTTACTATGAGATAGCACAGCAGAAAAAACAAACAAACAAAAAACAACTTACTTGGGACTGGTATCTGTGCATAAGAGCTACTTCATCTCTTACTGAGATCATATCAGAAGGAGCTGATCTGCAACATGGAAACCCAGCTAGTATCTCTTCTCGTTTGCTGGTGCTGATATTAGCAAATACGGGGTAATGGTCCACAGATGCAAACTCACTTGCTGCACATTCATAGTAGGTGCCTGTCAGCAGGGTCACCGCCAGCCATGTTAGCGGAGCAACAAGTGCCCTCCCGGTGATGCTGCAGAACCGAAGGCAAGCCAGCTTGCGCTCCAGGGGGCTGATTCTCCGGCGAGGAGGGACACAGTTGCAGCAGTATTCGCTGGTCATTGTCCACATTTGGCTTCTCAAAGCATAGCCAGCAATCAGAAAGATCAAGGCAGGAATGATGAGAAAAGCAGAACCATAATAGAAATTTTTCCCAGCCTGACAGGGACAGCTGAACGTGAAAGAAGAGAACAGTCGTTGTCCACCAATAGTCAAAGCCGCAATTAAAGAATTGATAAATGTTCCACTTCTCTGCAGAGAAGATATAATATTGTTGAGAGCTGGGCTCATCGTGGGAAGCTCTATCACAGATCAGCTTGTGGCCCTTTCTGATCATTAGACTCCACCAGCTATAACCATTTTATGGGATCTTACTGGTTTAACTGGTTGGGTGAAGTGACCCAACATCCTTACATGTTTAAAGGATTCTAGCATCTTTCCTTGTGTACTTTGTGAATCCTGAGCTAATAAATTCACTTCAGATTACAGCTGGAAGAAACTGAGAGATTCATCTGGCATAAGTGAAGAGGGAAACTTCTTGGTATATCTTCCCACTAAAAAGAGGATGACTTGCTTGACAAGCAAACTGTCTCCATCTTTCCATGTGCTTGCTTTGCATGGCACAAAATGCAGAGCACAGCAAATAAAGCATTGGAAGCAAAACAGAGACATTCTTACCCTTGTACTAGACAAGGATTTTGTCACCGTAAAATTACAATATGAAGAGTAGAGGAAATTTTTAAATACTAGAGAAATCCAAAATTTAGGGCTGGCTGGAACATCCCTAAACTAAGGATTCTGCCAGAAGATCCTAAAAGATTTCCCAAAGGAAAAGAACAAGCTTAGATATCCCTAAAGCCAAATCACAACAAAAACATTCTATCTTTGCATAAAAATTTAAAATTTGTTTGTATTGACAGAATATTGCTATGTGCTGCTTTAAAATTTAAGATACAAATTTGTTTATATGGTATCTTTTTGTTGTGTGAAAACGTGATATTTGTTTTTTTAATAAAGTTATACAAGGGTACTTCAAAAAGTTCATTAAAAAATTAGTATTATCTTTCAATTCTATTTTTTCCACAAACTTTTTAAAGTACCCTCAAGAAATGTAAGGTGTTTTTATGTTTATTTAATCAGCAAATATTTATTGTACAACATTGTACAATTTCTATATGAAGAAAAGTAGAGTAGGTTTGGTTGGGCTTATAAAAAGTGAAAATAATATAAATTTCTCTCTCAAACTGTTAATTGGACATGGTTAAATACATAATTAGCGAATTGAAACATAGTACTGAGGAATTCGTTCAAAATGCAGTACAAAAAGACAAAGAAATAAAATAATATATTTTTAAAAGCAGTTAAGGGAAAAAAAAGACATAAGCAACTCCACAATCTGGCCAATAGGTGTTCTAGGAAAAAAAAAAAAAAAAAAGATAGGAAGGCATAGGCAAAGAAGCAATATTTGAAGAGAAATAACTGGGAACTTTGCAGAATCAAAGAAAAGTTTTCATACCAAAAGAATGTTGGTTGTTCTGAGCAGTGTAAATAAAGATAAATCCACATCTACACACATCAAAGTAAAACTAGAGAATGTGAAAATAGATATTCTTAAAAGCTACAAGAAAGAAAAGACAGATAACCTACAAAAGAATAACATAGACTGACAGCAGACTTCTCATCAATAACAATAGAGACCAGAAGACAACACTTCAGAGTGCTTAGTACCAGCTAAACCATCATTCTGGACAGAGCAAAATAAAGACATGTAAAGACTAAGGGTATTTACCATCCACAGAACCTCATTAAGAGGATTACTAAAGGATATATTTCAGCAAGAAGAAAATAGAACCCTGAGGAAAGACAGGGGAGCAAAAAGTAGTGATGAGAACAAATACAATATTTTCAAAGTCCTCTTATTTAATTATTAGCTGTAGAAATAATTTTTATTTCAAAAGATACAACTAAGGCAATATATTATTATAAGTTACCACTACATACTAAAATGGCTAAAATTGCCAAATGTTGGCAAGGATTAAGAGCAACCGGAATTTACTCATGGTGAAAATGTAAAATAGAACAACCACTTTAGAAAATTGTCATTTTCTTTAAAAGTTAACCATACACCTGCCATATAACACAGTCATTTCTCTCCGAGTTATTTACATGTTAGAAATGAAAGCAAATGTTCACATGGAAACTTGCACGTGAATGTCCATGGCAACTTTATTTATAATAGCTGCAAACTGAAAACAACCTAAATGTCCATCAACAGATGAATAGATCAATGAAGTATTAGATATCAGCAAAATAAAAGGAATAAACTATCAATATACACAATAACATAAGTGAATTCAAAAATAATTTTCTGGAGGAAAGAACTCAGGAAAAGGAGTGTATTTCATGATTCTATTTATGTAAAATTCTAGAAAATATAAATTAGTCTTTACCAACAGAAAACCGATCAGTGCTTGCCTAGGGAGTAGGAGATGAGAGATAAGAAGAGAGATTACAAAGGGGAATGAGAAAACTTTGGGGATTGTATTAACTTGTACTCTCAGGACTTTAGCTCATGTAAGTGACTGAGTGATGACACAGAGGGGCCAGTGACATTGAAGAATTTATCACATTACGTTTACATTTACAGAGAGAAAGGGGCATGCCACTCCACACAGCATAGTATAGGGAGCATTGGGTTTGGTGAGGAGACAGGAGGAAGAGGGGATAGCCTAGGCTCTTATTGGGGTTTCTGTGGGAAAGGCAAGGCAGGGCAGGGAAAACACTTAAGAATAAATAATTCTGGCAGGCTTTGAGGCATAGAGGCTGTCCCTACTTGTCTGCAACATGGCCATGTGTTGATTTAGGGTGGGATAAATATTGACTTGGTACGTGAGAGTTATATAAGGAGGTGGTTGAGGGTGTGGGCTCTGGATCATGGAGGAGATATAAACCACTTGGCTATTATGTAGCCCTATAATTAATGAATGCCAGATGGACAAATGCAGAATCTGAGAAAACACAATTAGAACAGGTGTGATGGAAATGTTAATTATATTGATTAACTTCTGCTTGGGAGCGTGGTGGCGCTCCCGCCGAGGGTTCGGATCCCACATGCAGACCGGTTCCCACTCACTGGCTGAGTGAGGGGCGGACCCAGCACCTAGGGTTGCGATCCCGTTGCCGGTCCCGGTCCGGTACGGGCGCGACACTGAGGGTTGCGATCCGTTGCCGGACATAAAAAAAGGAAAAAAAAAAATTATATTGATTAACTTCTGAGGTATATACATATGTTGAAACTCATCAAACTGTACACCAATTGCATCTCAATAAAGCCATAAAAATTTAAGTATAATCACTAAAAGGCTAGAAATATAATGTATAGCTCATTCAAAGAACAGGAAATAGAAAGAGAATATTGACAGAAAAGAAGATAGTAAACAAGGGGAAGAGAGTGATGAAGACACAACACAAAATAATGGTAGGAATGAGACCAAATACATCAGTAATCACAATAAAAAAATTTAAATAGCTATTGCTGCATGCTAAGCACTGTGCTGAGAACTTTATCTCATTTAATCCCCACAATAACCTTATGATGAGGTACTAATATTATCCTCAGAATTTTTACACATGGGAAGACTGAGGTGTGAAGAGATTAAGGAAACTTCCCAGGGTCACGCACAGATGAGTGGAAGAGCCAGGATTAGGACCCAGCTGGTCTGGCATGTGCTTGTAACCATCATGCCAGAGCTGGCTTAACTGTAACGTGGTTAGAAGATTGTCATGCTGCTTATAAGAGACACTCCCAAAGCTATACCACACACATAGCTTGAAAAGAAAGGTATTGAAATATATGTCACTGGGAACAATAATATTAATAAAAGGCAAAACTGAACTAAAGGCAAAGATTGTCAGAAGAGCTAATTTTGAACATGTAGCAATCCGTTATGAAGATATGACAATCTCGACTTTCATGTCTGTGACTGAATAACTTTGAAATACATAAAACAAAAACTCCTCAGATTATAAGGAGAAATCCTTACAATCATAGAGAGAAATTTTTTAACATACCTTTATCAGAAATGAACTGATCAAATAAACATTAGAAAGTATATAGAAAATGCCAAGAACAAACTTAGCAAATTTTGCCTAAGATAAATATATAGTATTCCAAACCCTAAAGATAGAGAATAAACATTTTTATAAGTTCCTCCAAAAATTATTTGTCAAAATGTATTGGTCATGGAGGAGATCACAAAGAAAATTCCAGCAGTAATGTTTAATAACAAAGAAACAGATTAATAAACCATGGCCATAAGTTGCTATAGATAAGCGTTGTTAATCTCTGGCTTATGGGCCAAATTGGCCCACTGCCTGTTTTGTGTGGCTTGTGAGCTAAGAATGGTTTTTATTTCGTGACGTGTGAAAATTAAATGAAATTTAAATTTCAGAGTTTATAAATAAAGTTTTATTGGAACATAGCCATGCCTGCACTACAACTGCAGGGTTGAGTTGTTATGACAGAATCCATATGGCCGCAAAGCCTAAAATATTTACTATCTGGCCCTTTACAGAAAAAGTTTGCTGACCCCTGCTTTAAATCTGGGAAAATAAATGATCTGCACTGACAGATAAATCTCAACAAATAACTTGGAAAGAAAAATGCAAGCTGTAGGATACGTGCAGTATGATACTATTATATAAAGTTTTAAAACATACAAAATAATATTACATATTCTTTATGACTACTAACAGACATACTATTTTAAAACATGAGCAGCAATAATAAATATCAAGTTCTTGGTAGTGATGACCGCTGAGGAGGAAAGAATGATGGGATTAAAGAGAGTACGGGATATTTCAAATGCATCAGTACTGCTTTACTGTTAAAAGCCTGAAGTGTATATAGTAACATGTTCAGTAAAGCTTGGTAGTAAGTACCACATCTTATGTTTATTTATTTATTTATTTATTTTCCTTTTTGTCTTCTTTCGTGACCGGCAACGGGATCGCAACCCTCGGTGTTGTGCCCGCACCTCACTCAGCCAGTGAGCGGGAACCGGTCTGTATGTGGGATCCGAACCCTTGGCGGGAGCGCCACCACACTCCCAAGTGGCGCACTGTAGCAGTGCACCACCAGGCCGGCCCCTCACATCTTATGTTTATAATTCCATATTTAAAAATCCATTTAACTAGAGTATAGGGGAAGTGAGGAAGTGGGGAAAGAAATTGCAGACCATTCTTTCAGAGAACTATGTAGAAAAGGATGGAGCACTGATTGATTAAAATCACTATTGCAGTGTCAAATTCTTGCTGTAAAGAAATTCGTTGATGACAAGTTCCTAAGTTTTTATTATTGTTTACTGTTGAAACAACTAATCACTTCATCAGCAATATGACTGTATAATTTATTGATAACTATGAATGATTACATCCATGAGTAATCAATTTTCTTTTGATCGTTGTCTTAGTTCTTTTGCGCTGCTATAACAAAATGCCTGAGACTAGGTAATTTATAAAGATCAGAAATTTATCAGTTACAGTTCTGGAGTCTGGGAAGTCCAAGATCAAGGCACTGTCATTGATGTCTGGTGAGGACTACTCTCTGCTTCCAATATGGCACCTTGCAGCAAAAGCAAAAGGGCAGAGAGAACAAACGCTGTGTCCCCACATGGCAGAAGAGCAAAAAAAGGTCTAAGCTAGTTTCCTCCAGCCCTATTTATAAGGCACTTTTAAACTTTTATAAGGCTCTGCCCTCATGACCTAATCATTTCCCAAAAGATCCCACTTTTTAATACCACCATGTTGGGGATTAAGTTTCGACATATGAATTTTAAGAGATGTTCATAGCATAGCAGGACTTATATTCAATTGGTCTCCTTGTTAAAGATAGTTTGCTGTTACTTGGCTATCCAACACGTAGTTTTCAAATGCCTACTCCTCAGCAGGGACCCACCAGCTCACTCACTGAGCACATGCTGGCACGTGAACAAGGAAAATCAGATCTGAGCACTAGAGCTATCCCCAGGAGGATTGGGGTGCAGTGCAAATCACACACTAATTTTATGTGAAGAAACCAGGTTAAAATGAACACCAAAAGCAGCCTTAAAAAGAAAAAAAAGTTGCAAAGAGATAACAAGCCCCCGGGCAAGGTATTATGGTAGTGGCTTTGCCTTCTCTGACAGTTTGTGGATGATCTCAGATGATGATCACACAGCTCATGGATCAGTGGATGTCGTCCCCTGTTAGCATCTTCCCAAGTCTTTACTCAGCTGCCCAGGTATGTCCAAGGGACCAGTGCAGGGGCATGTCCCAGTTCAGCATTTACATGAGTTTGTTGGTTGTAGTGCAGATTTGATGAAATTCAGAAATGCTTCTTTCTCCCAACCTTAGCTCCAACATCAGTTCTAGCCAGCCTGAAAAACTCTGAATCAAAGAGGAAAAACTTCTTTTATGCATCATTTTGATATGACTCTCCTTCCTATTTTGCTGCAAGGGCAGATGTTATAGATCATTTACCTGTTTAAAACACAACCTCTGTGCTTTCTTCTATTTAAGCGAGGGGCGGTTTTATATAAAAAGAAGGAGCCTGGGGAACACAAGACTCACTTGGATCCTTAGAACTGCTGAAAGCCAGTGGGTTTCATAGTCTGAAAACCAGCAAACTAGTGTCCCCAGCAATGGTGACTACGGCAATGATTGTGCAGGTTCTACCGTGGACAGCCTGGTAGGGATACCAGGTAGGGACACAGCTCCTTCCTCAAGCCCTATGTCCTGCCCACAGGGTCTGTGAGGGGTAGGGGTAGGTGAGAGTGAAAGCCATGTCAGTCTTGAGGAACCACTGGCTTTTTTTCTAATGCACCAATGACATCATGAATTTTCATGTGGCCCTGATGTGACTTTACCACACCATTGGAGTTTAGCGAAATTGATTCGACTCCAGTACCGCCACCTCCTCCCACCAAGGACATAGGCCTTTTCTGGTTTATTCTCAAGGATTTCTTACCCGGAACCCAGAATCATCTTCAAATTGGTCCCAGCAACATGCTGTCATGCATGTTCATAGTTTTTGTGAATCTTCCCCTAAAATATTTTGCTCTAACATAATTAGAGTGTGTGCAGTAGAAAATTACTTTTGATAGGAAGTCAGCACATTTAGCCCAAATCCCTCTTTGTTGTCTCCTATCCAGATAACCTTGAACAAATTTCTTAACCTCTCTACTTTTAGATTTCTATACTGTAAAATGGTAATGATTAAAGTACCAACGACCTCACAGATGGCACTTGAATTAAAGTGAGATAAAGAAAATGAGGACCGTGTTGTAAACTATACAGTTTATATAAAATAAATTGTTATTAATCTGCTACTGAAAAGCTCCCCACCCCCAACAACCCAGCAAAATTGGTTTTCCTGAGATCACGGCATCACAGAACATATGCACTAAGGGAAATACCTTAAATATTGTAAAATTCCATTCCATATACCCACCTACAAGAATAACCTATAGTAATAAGTTTTTATATAGTGCATTATAATGTGTTTTATAACAAACATCATCTCTTTGATACTCACAACTATTCTGTGAGGTGGGTATATTATTTCCATTTTGCAGATGTGGAAACTGAGCATAGAGCAATAAAACTGCTTGTCCAAGGTCACACAGCCAGTAAATGGGGGAACTGCAACTTAGCCTTGACACTTCCAAACCCTCCTCTGCTCTCTTAACTACACCACACTCTTCTTCAGCGTATTCACTGGTCTGTCACTTTATAGCAAGAATTTGCCAGAATAAATAGGACTAATTGACTCAAGCTGTCATAAGTAGGAAACTACTTTCCTAAGCTGAGTTTTATGCTACTATTTCTGGAAGGGTTTTGATCCTCCGCACCCTGCAGTTGTCAAGATAAGAGAATTTCTTGTTTGAGCTTGAAATGTCTATATTTCTGCATAAATAAAGAGAGCCTTCAGTACCAGCATCTCAGAAACTATCAAAAGAAGGCTAAGGGCTTGCTTTCTCTGCCAGAACCATCATGCATTATTAAACTGCAGAGCACCATTCTGAGCAACAGTTTCATAAGAAAATATCACCCGCTGTATCACTCCTTAAAACTGCTGATTGTTGCTCACGAAAAATAAAGTTGCCAGATATACTCAAATATTATAATCATATAAGATGGGGGTCTAGGCTTGGGAGACAATGAGATACCCACTAAAGCTGTTGATCAAGTTTGAACCTAGGATTTAGCAATTACAGATTGCTGATCCTGTCTCTCTAATTCATACAGCAATCAATATAAGACTGAATAATGCTAACATTTAGATCTATCTTGGATTGTGAAGTTTTCAGTTTGTGATTTTTAAAACGATACCTTGGCATGAGAACAAAACACCACTCTTGAACTCCCTTGGGCTAAAGGGAGTGTTCGGGGCTTCTAGTCTGACTTCACACTATCAGCTTTTATGGTTCTACATTACAACTCATCATCACAAGGGAAGCAGTTATTTGATCGGCGGCAAGTTAGGTGGCTACAAGACAGTCTCATTGTTCATGATTTTTCTTTTCCGTCTTCAGTTCAGCAAAGAGCAAAAGCAGTAGAGTGTAAAAGTAGCACTCCTGTCTCAAAGCAAGGAGGAACTTGCAAACACAAAAGGACACAGACTGAAACACCTCTAAGGTATAAGCAAAAGAAGAGAATTTGAAGATCCCATTCTTCTTCTATCAAGCACTATGTCTCGCTCGGCACGTAGAAAACCAGAATACCATAAAATTGTAAGATCTTTTTATAAAGAGATTTTTTTCTACTTACTTCAGAGAAAATGTTTTCTTGGGTGATTTATGATTTATTTTGAAAGGTGATGTTATAAGTAGAATTTTTCAGCAGAGCAAAGAGAGTGTTTAGTGGAGGGAATCATAAATGACACCTTTGGGAATAGTTACAATTCTATCTTACATACCATAACAGAATAATGGATTGTTTCTACAGGTTTTAAGGTCTTCTTTTCTAATTATATTCATAAAAGTGTCAAATTTTGCTTTTGTTTCTGACAGAAAAATAAGAAGAGATTAAGCAATTTTTTGTATTTCATATTTTAAAATAGGAAATGAAATGTATATAAATATAAAATAGGTGATTATGTGTAAAATTGAATAGGAATAGATCATCAAAAAGCTCGGTATTAAAGACGGTATTTATTAAAAATGTCCTAAATGTATTTATTATTGTAATTTGGTATGTGCTATGATCCTTCCTATATATTCCAAGTTCAGAGTTATTGAAAACTTAATTTTTTGCAGATTAGATTTGGATAGTCTTCTTTAATCCTCTCTTATAGTTTTAGCCATTCAGAAGTTACAGATGTGAAAACTCATTGTTAAATTTAAAGCTGGGTTAATTATTTCAGGAGAAATTCTATATGTAGGTGGGGGAAGGGTATGGGAACTAGCTGTACTTTCTGCTTAACTTCTCCGTAAAACTAAAACTGCTATAAAAATAAAGGAAAAAAATATTTCAGGAGACTGATGGGCATTTGATATAATTAAGTAATTTCAGCTTTCGGTACTTAGAATTGTAGTGGTTAATCAGCACACCCCAGTTGGAAACACCTGAATGGCATTTTGGGATCTTAATTATTTTTCTGTGGGGTTCTCAGATGCTAAAAAGTATTATACATAGTTCACATTGTACCTAAATTACTTGATTTATATTGCAGTTAAGACACATTTCTACCCTGATACATCCAAAGCATTCTGAAATAATGAAGGACGTTGTATTTTTCACCAATGAAAATAATTGGTTTTTATTGTTTTAAAAACCGTGAATATAAACTTATATTGACCTTTCCTGGGATCCATGGTATGGATCTGAGACCCAACTGGAGATGTAGTTCAAGGTGCAGCCCTTGGACATGAAGCAGAATGGAGAAAACAGGTCTCTATGGATATTGAACTTGAAATTGAGCTGGAAGTAAAATTTGTTTCGAAATACAGTAGTATCCACCCAAAAGAGAGAGAGACAGAGAAGAAAATGTCATTATTTCAGTGTGGCCTTAATTATAAATGGGCACAATGCTGAGGCTATCACATGTAAGTAGGGTATAATTTTTTCTCCTTTTCTCCTTTTCTTTCTTTTTCAGATTCTTTTGTTTTACTGCTGGTGGCAACAAACACATTCTCTCTCTCTCTCTCTCTGTCTCTCTCTCTGTCTCTCTCTCTGTCTCTCTCTCTCTCTCTCTCTCTCTCTCTCTCTCTCTCCCCTTCACTTTTGCCTATTTTTATGCTGCATCATTGGTACATAGCAGTAGTTTCTCTTCTGGTGTGTCTTCTTATATGTTAGGCAGATATTTCATTTATAATTTACAGACATTTCTTATGATTTATGATTAGGTTTTTGAAAGACTTAAATAAACAGAGCTAAAATTAAATAAATGGTGACCCTTCAGTGTTTAACACTATTTTTGTTCACATCACTTGCCTTACATCCCTCTTTTCCTAGTAAAAATATTAACATACTCATTATTTTTCTATACCTGAATTGTATATATTAGTGTCCTTAATATGTCAGTTAATGTATATGATGTATATTCTACATACATTTATTACATTTCATTTCTATTGTTCCATATAAATTATGTCCATATGTGCCATATAATATTTAGATTTTATCTGTTTAAAGTTTATTTAGTGATAACAAATATGCTACCTGAGTGAAGAAACATATTTGTCATGATATAAACCCATACATAAGGGAGGGGACTCTGGTGGTATTTGAATCAAAATCATATAATATTTTCTAGAAACCACTTTGTCAAATAAACAATGTAATTGGTTTTTGAGCCATTCTGCTTTTTAAAAAAGAATACATGGGGTACAAATGCAATTTGTGGTAACGGGTATACAGCCAGTATGAATCTGGCCCCCACATCATGGGCAGGAGGGGTGACAATCAGCTTTGTATCTCATGAATATTCATAACCAATTTTTAAAAAAGAATATGTATTATCAGGCCTTCTCTTTCATTACATATTAGGCTATCCAAGATACCTGGGCTTAGAGTAAGGATTCTTCTTCTAACCTGGAATCTACATTTGACCTTTCATAAAAGTACTAGATTATGCATAGAATAGGATTATTTTCAGTAATGGTCCTCCTTCCTCCATCCCTGTCCCACCTGCTTCTACTCCAAACAGTGCCTTCCTTTACACACCTCAGAGATAAATACTATGTCAGTGTGGAGGCCCGCAGTGTAAGATGCCATTCTGGCTCTAATAATTGCTGGCTAGCTGAGCAAGTCACTCAGTCCTCCTGAGGTCCCATTCTCTCCTCTGCAGGACTGAAAGCATTGAAATAAATTATCTCTAAGATCCCCTTCTCTTTGTTAGATAATATTCAATAGCAGAAGCAAATCAGACTTTTAAAAATGGATTGATTGGGCTTTGTGTCTTCTGTGTTCTGTATGTTTTCTGAATTTTCAACATATCTATGCTTAACCAAACCTAAGTTGTCCTTGGTTTTATTTATTTATTTATCTTTGGCAGACTGGCCAGTATGGGGATCCGAAACCTTGACTTTGGTGTTATAACACTGCACTCTAACCAACTGAGCTAACCAGCAGCCCTATCTTTAGTTTTAATTTTTACTTGTAATTCTCTCTAAAAATGGGACAAATTTGAGAGATCTATAAGGAATAAGACAATTTTCCCTTTTTTCTCTAAGCAGAAAGAAAAAAAAAAAAACATCTCACAATTTGCTGTTACATTTGGATTCATCCTGAAGGTCTTTTTGGCAGACTTGGGACCCAATAGAGATTGTGCAAACTCATGAGAAGGATCATCCGATTATTTCTTCCAACTGAAAATGTGGTCAGCATATATTAAAGGCCATTCTAGAAAAATAGAAATTTATATTAGTAATTAGTATTTTTAAAACAACTTCCTCTGAAAATACATAGAAAAATTATATAATGTAAGCAAATGCATAGAAAAATATTCTCATGTTAAGAAATTTATTTTATGGCAAACAGTTGTAAGTCTGTAATAAAAAAAAAAGAAAGAAAGAAAAAGAAAAGAAAAAAAAATTTATTCCACAGCTCTCCTCCCCCACCTCCCAGCAATGAATCCAAATGGAGTATAATTTGTTCCCAAAAGTGAACATTGTTGCAGTAAGAAGAGTGTGGAAAAAATGAACAGATGATTTCTAAGGCTGCTTCCAACCAGAAGATTTTGTAAAAAAAAAAGAAATACAGTAGTATATTATTGTAATTTTGCCTATAATATAAAACTATCCCTTTTTCTCCAGAATAGAGATCTCTTTGTTCTCACCTATGGAGCTCTGGTTGCCCAACTGTGTAAGGATTATGAAAAAGATGAAGACGTGAACAAATACTTAGATAAAATGTAAGTAGAAGTCTTTCATTCTTGTGGAATGTCAGTTGTTTCCTACCGTCACCTACATTTTTCCTGCCTCTAATGATTTCTTTTGCTCGATTTCACCAGCTCTCCTTCTATTTCAATGAATCACATCTGAAAGCTGAACGTTATTTCTTACAAGGGCCATTTGGGTTGGTAACAAGGTAACAGGAAGAAAGTGGGGTGTTTTGTTGAATACCAAGTGCGGAATGTTTTCTTTTTAGTTAGATATCATTTTTTTGCTAGTTGCTTTTAAGCAAAGGATGTAGTAAGACTGAAATTGTTCTTTTAACAATATGATGGATGATCAGATTTTATGCTTTTCAGAAGCCTTTTGTCCTAACATACCTTCTTCTAATGTAAATATATGCTTACATAAGCACAGGTATGCAAACACCCACTAAACAGCAGTTGCCCAAGAGGAAGAATGGGAGACTAGGGACTGTGGGTTGAAGGGAGACTTTCTTTTTCCTATATAGCGTTTTTGTTTAAATGTTTTACCATTACTATGCTTTACTTAAACATATTAAATAGAAAAACCCACTCTTTTTAAAGCCCATTCTCCTTGTCTTTATTAATGGAGATTCCTCCTGCACAAATTCAACCTTCTAATTTCTCAGAATAATTACACGATCGTCAGATTATTGCCAAACAATAAAGTATGTGTCAACATTTCTTGAACCTCTTAATTATAGACCCTGAAAAGGACTTTAACAAAGTAATGACTGGAAAGTATGTACTGGTTAGAAGATTTATTTAGATAAGTTGAAGGGGAAATTTAGCCTAGCATTTTGGAGCTTTTTAAAGGGCTCATTGTATTTTCAGTTGGAATACAGAAAAAGACAAAATAAGGAAAAGCTTAAAAGATTTTTTTTTAACCCTTGTTTTCCTCCCTTTCTAGGTACTCGTTCTTTTTCTTTTTGGAAAGTTCTTGTTTATTTGGGTACACGCGTTTTGTTTTGTTTTGTTTTTTAATTAGGAGAATTCATGAAGAAGCAAACTGCCCAACCATTCATCTATAGATTTTTCAGTTACTTCCTCAGCTGAATTGTCTGTAACTGTGGGAGCTGCTAAAGTTATTTCACACTTAAGTCACACTTAAACATCTGACATAGTATTTCTAGAAATTCAATTTATTTGACTTATGTTAAATTTGCATCATTTTGTGGAATAGCTGTAGAAAGTGAAAGGCTTATTTGACTAAAAAAACATACTTTTGCTTAGCTAATTGAGTGTACATTTTAACAAATATGAATAAAATATTAGTTAAAGAGTAAATTTGGAGAGACTGCAGAAAGATCTTGCCTTAAAAAAAAAATACTTCACATTTGGTTTCTTTAATAGGTTCTGCTGAGAGCATCTTGCATTTTTAATTTATAAAATATCTACTTTGCAAAAACATACCATTTGACCAAAGCAATACACACACACGCGCGCACGTGTGTGTGTGTGTGTGTGTGTGTGTGTAACACTCTGCTAATAACGTAGCTTCCTATCACTGCTCCCAGTGGCCAAGCCTGTGGATATGCATATGATAATAAGAAAACACCAGAAACATTTTTAAATCCTGGTACAACTACTTCTGTAAAGTAGACATTCTGTTCTTTAAAAGCCTTTTCAGTGTGGGCTTCCTGGCTAGAATTACAAACCATTTTTCTCTAAAGTCAAGGAAGTTAAACCGAACATTTCCATCCACTCAGAAATATAAATAGAATATCTCACAAGATTTAGTGAATTAATAAGCACTCTGACATCAAATCCATCTCCCTGCAACCACCCAGTCACCAAAGATCTCATACCTTTTTAGATCCTATGGAGCAATTATTGCCTCTAAAAACTGGCTTCTTTATCTTGTTGCTCCACACAGATTGTTTTACTTGTCTACATCCACATGGCTGTGAAATTAAAATACCAATTTTGTGCCAGTGGTTTCTCAAAAAACAGAAAAGTTCCTTTCTATTTTCACCATTAAGGTCCTATTTCCTCAATTAGATTGAAAGTTCTTATAAGACAAAGACTGTGACATTTTTTGTATCCCTCCCAGAAATTTAGTAGTTTCTCAGTCTACCTAGTTAAATGTATCTGCTCAGCCACTTAGTTGTATTATCACATATCGATAAAAGGCTTTCAAAATCAGACTTCAGATGCTGCTTGAACCATTTGCTTGGGATGGAGTTAACTGATAATATAAATACCTTCCCCCAAGTCCCATAGTTTTAGTTTCCCTAGACTGAAAAATGAGTTGCCTGAACTTGGCTTCCCCCACCAGTATACTTCAGAGTCCTAACTGCTGAAACCTTCACTGGCAACAAAAAAATATTTTTCTGTTCCCTTCTTCTTCTAGAGTCCTTCCTAGAAATGCCTGCCCTCCTACAGTGATAACTATTTAGCAGAGTGAGCAGCCAGGTAGCACACCTGTAGCGGGCAAGTTAGCTTCACGATCATTCTGTTTCTGTCAATAGCTAATAATGAGCAAGTTAGTTATCAGTGAGAAATATTAGGCTACAGGTCCGGCCCGGTGGCGCACTGGATAGTGCGCCGCTTGGGAAGCGCGGCTGCGCTCCCGCCCGAGGGTTCGGATCCCACATACGGACCAGTTCCCGCTCGCTGGCTGAGCAAGGCGCGGGAGCAACACCGAGGGTTGCGATCCCGTTGCCGGTCCCCGGTCCGGTACGGGGGCAACACTGAGGGTTGCGATCCGTTGCTGGACACGGAAAAAAGACAAAAGACAAAAGACACCAACCTTCTTTAATTTTAACTTGCACTGTCAAGTTTTGGCCAGACTTGGTATCTAGTCAGACTCCTCTGCTTGTAGGAGACTAGTTAGTATTTCCTGGGTGTGTTGCTCTCTGTTTCTGCGGTCTGTGGGACAAACAAGACCACTGCCAAAAGCCATTTGACTTGACATGTTTGGTTTAGTTTGTTATCCACCTGTGTAAGTCCTAAACATGACTTCATTCTTAAACAATGATAGACTTTGCTAATTACTCAGATATCATTTTCAGACCACACTCTTTCCTTCGTCCACAGGGGTTATGGGATTGGAACCCGGCTGGTGGAAGACTTTTTGGCTCGATCCTGTGTGGGAAGATGCCATAGTTATTCAGAAATTACAGACATAATTGCCCAGGTAAATGTGCTTTTAGCTCTGTCGGTGTTTTGAAAATCTTTGATGTTTTTCTGAGTTTGATGGTTTTCTGCTCTGACTGGACAGGTTCCATCTGTATTTGTTGTTAGGTGCTGAGAGAGAGAATTCTAATTGAAAAGCATTTTATTTCAGCACAAAGATAAAGCTACTGTGAACTGAAAGAGAAATGCTTCCAGGCATTTATGCATCTAGAGATTTTCCCGACTACATGGAGTATATGGTGTGTATGACTTACCCTGGAAAAAATGCTTTGAGTAGGTAAGCAGAAGGGGAATGGAATAGGGCAACCTTATGACATGATGCTCCAAACCAGCTTCTTTATGTAATCACTTTCAGTGCATGGAAGGAGTTAGCGTTTGGCAATATCGGAGAGTGCTGTTGTAGTCATTTGCAGAGCACTGTTTTCCCAAGAGAAAAATAAAGTTTCCTGTAAATGAGTGTGCTCTGAGAACTTTCACAGCCCTGATGTATTGGAGACAACTTAGAATCATCCAGGACTAGCTCAAATTTTTAGATATAAAATTGTGAAATGCATCTTTAGCCAGCATTCCTTTACTCTGCGGACCTATGGTTATTAATTTTGTGTTGTTAATTTGTGGGAGACCCAGAAAGTATGCATTGATATGAGATATTTACTCTCCCATCCTGATGTGCTGCCTCCAGGTTCACACAACTGACCAAGTTAGTCAGATTTGCTCTTCTTTTCTCTCCTGATCCTTAATATTGTTATGCATGGCCAAACTGACCCTTTACACGAATGGCTGTCATAGTACTACATAGTGCTTTGTGATTCTAAATGCAGTTTTACATACTTTTTTGTCTTTCATCTTCACAATAACCCTCTGAAGCAAGCAGACTAGAAGTTACTATTCTCATTTTCCAGATAAGAAAACTGAGTCCCAGAAAAAAATATGATAAAAATTCTATTATAGTATATGTGAAAAATAAATCGTACATTCAAAAACAACCCAAATGAAAGATTTTTCCACTTATTGGTATTGTTACTTTCATTATTTCATGGCTGGTGAATCATATGGTTGAAATTAAAATCCAGGTGTCTTCCAACTCTAGCACAGTGAGTTTACCATACCACTAAACAGGTTAAATAAAAAAAGTTCCTTTTCATATTGGCAAAATAAAAGTAGGATCTGAAGCAGTAGTTTGAAAAATAAAATAAAATCATTTTTAGTAAACCAATTCTTTGGGCAACACTGCAAGAATACTAGCCATTTTAATGGAAAGTAAATAGTTGAATTATATAAATGCAGATGGTTGTGTTTTGTTGCATTTCTAGTTGGTAGCACCTGGGCCTTTTGATTAGTAAGACATAGTCTTCCTCTAGTGAGGATGTCAAATTGCTTTAAGAATGACTTCCCTTTGACCTTTGCCCAAATCCATCCCATTGTCTTCGTTTGGATATATAATTTTAAATATAAAATATATCTAGGGAAAGCCAAGCTTGCAGATTCTCAAGGCAGTAGAACATTGGCTGATAATTTGAAAAATTATATAATGCAGAAAACAAAACCTGACTCATGCATTTAAGGTTGCTTGTTAGGCTTTGGATATCTGAAGAAGAAAATAATTTCAAGGGCTGATGGAGACTCCATTCTAAAGATATGTTAGCACAACCAGTGAGAGTTTTAATGTATTCTTGTGGTTATGTTTATGTATGTACAGTACACATAGTATTATTCCATTTAAAAATATATTCAGTTATATTTAAAAAGAGACAATTAACCAAACTAAAAAAAAAAAATTATTGAGTAAAGATCAGTAACCACCTGGAAGTGGAGGCATATACAACCTCATTACCGAGAACCTGGAATTACTTTCTGTCACACATTGGAAGATCAGAGCTCATCTGAAAGGTGCTCAATACTATAAATGCCTTTAGTGTAGAGAATATTGGCCATTTGTCTAACTGAGCTCCAGTTAGAGCAGTGCAGTGACATGAAAGGATTCCCCAGTTCTTTCTCATCATCTCTTCTTGGCTGTGAGTGAAAAGTCCAAGGCACTGACAAGCTTCTGGGCATTTGAAAGGGATAATTTCATGTATTTATTTTAATCAGAGAAACACAAGGAACAAACCTTCTCTAGTAGAAAATAAAAAGTCAGTATAAGCCATAACTGTTTTACCACTATCATTAACCTCAAAATAGCTGCTATCAAATATCTCATGAAAGTCCTTCCTAGACTAAGGGTGGCTAAGAAGACTGGAATTCTCACATAAAGCTTCTCGTTGCCTGTGGTCCTCTACCAGGACCTCCTCCATGTTCTATGAGCCACTTTGTGTTAGGAAAAATACAAAGCTGAAAGCCAAATTAAATATGCCAATATGAAGTACATGCTTACATGGGGCCCAACATAGGACTTATTACTTGGTAGATACTCAATAAAACTTACTTGAAAGAAAAGAAGGGCAAAAGGAAAAGAGGAAGGGGAAGAAATGAAAGAAATCTTGTTCAGGCCCTGAGGAAGAGAGCTTTCCTTCAGCAGGAGATGACCTGCGAATGTTCCTCAAGCTGCCCAGTGCATTTGAGGCCTCCCGGAGTCCCTTCCTCCGAGGAACTATGCATTTTCCCTGACAATGAAGTCTTCAATGTGCAGAAATACAAGCAGAACAAGAGTTCCTTCTACATACCAAATTTAAAAAGAAAAGGCTGAAGAGCAACCTAGTCAGAAATGTCCTAAGGAGTGTGTAAGAAAGAGAGGAAATGCATTAATATCTCAACAGAAAGTAAGAGGCCAAGAAGAACACAAACAAACAAACAAAAACTCCAGAACACCCCCCATCTTAGAAAGCATATTCTGCTTTTAAAAGAATGAAAGTAGCTTCTAAAGACACCTGACCTCCTAACTGCACAATTTTCAGCAAGTCAGAAACAAGTCTGTTTTATAAAAAGCTAAAAACATGTACCACATCTGCTTTCCAAATATCCCTTCTCTAAACTTTTTGTGTCCTGTCGACCATTCTGACGCCATGTAAATTCTTGTCTGCGTCTCCTGTGCTCGGGGAACTGGAAGAAGGTCCACTTGCACTCCTACTCAAGACACTTTCTTGTCACCAAGGGGATATCTCATCACCTTCACCCTTTCCTCGTGCACAGCAGTTGTCTCCTGGTCTTTGCACTTTCCTTCAAAGGCCTGATTCTTCCTTCTTAATCATTTTCACTTCTCCAGCAAATTGTTCTTTTACATGTGGCAATGATGTCACCCATTCCAGAAACATTTGAACACAAATGAAGGTCCAGACTTTAGTTGTGAGCCCAGCCACTGATGCTTTGCTTATAATTAGCAGCTTTCATTAAAAGCGGGCCATTGGCAGCATTATCTCATTAATCCTGTAAGCTCTCCTCAGAGGAGGCAAAGTGTCAAACGTTACAGAGTCGGTTTTATAGAGAACTAGGGCAAAGTGAAAGAAAGTTTACTGTGGTCACATGCTGCCCTCGGAACACAGCAGTCAGGAATAGAACCCAGTAGTTGTGAATTTGGTTTGGCTGCCCACCCAGAGCATGTACGAATCATCCTCAAGTACTGAACATCTGTAGACCAGGGCTTCCCCAGAACTCATGGCCTCTGTCCTGGTTCCAGAGAAGGAAAGAGAGAGCAAGAATGCATTTGAAGAGAATTGACTAGATGAAGAAACCTGTGCCCAGATAGCTGAAGTGACTTCTCTGAGTTAGTTAGTAAAAGACTGCAGGTAGGAACTGGTCTCCTGAACTCACTCCCCACTCTGCACACCTCTGCCTTTGGGAGAGAAGGACTGTGTAACTTCAGGTCCTAATAGCATTCCACTCTCTCTTGTTTTCTTCACTTGGTCTTTTCAAAGAAAAAGACCCTCTGTCACTAGGCCCTTGACAAATTCCTTTAACAGGTATGAGACCTCAAATTGTGGCCTCATCTGGTGGTATCAAAAGAAGTCCCATGCCAGAGGCCAAATCATTTATCAGAAAATCTTCAGTCTGCCTTATGTTTCATACAAAAAAAAGAGATGACAGGCTAATTCTAAAGTCAACTTCCTGCCACATTAAAATGTATTCATTTTTTAAATATGACTTTATTACATACAAGTTTACTTTTTGTGGTGGTTGCCTCAAAATACAACTGCAAGTATTAAATAAGACATACTAATTTATAAAAATTGTCAGCAGCATTATAACATGATACTGAAAAATTTTAATAATACAGAGATTTTCTTCATAAAAGTTCAAAGTAATTCCCACCTATTATGTTTCCCTTGCAAGAACCTTGTGAAGTAGAAAGGACATCTATCATTAGCCCCATTTTACTGATGATATAATTGAGACTTAGATGATAGCACCACAGACAATAAGAAATGCCAGCTTAGAACTTAATTATTCTGACCTTATTCCAGTATTTCTTCTATGAATCAGTTGTTTCTTTAAAATATACCTCTGAAGGTTTTTTCTACTATGATAACTATTTTAAGAAAAATTTTGTAGTTGCTCTAAATGAAAATGTGTAATTTGCAGCTGATTTTAGTTGGAATAATGAAATATCAGAGAATTTAACTTACAGCCCTATAGGTCTTTCAGTTTATTATGGAGAAAGTAAAAAGTATAATTGTACCTGTCTGTGGTCTAAGAGATACATTTTTTTTAAAAAATTCCTTATTTACACAAAAATATATTTCAGGGTTTCCAAACACCTTTATGACAAAACATCTTTATTGTTAGAAGAAGCTAATTAGAGATAAACTTGATCATTTAAATCAAGATGATGTTAGGGCCGGCCCGTGGCTCACTTGGAAGAGTGTGGTGCTGATAACACCAAGGCCACAGGTTTGGATCCCTATATAGGGATGGCCGGTTTGCTCACTTGGGAGAGAGTGGTGCTGACAACATCAAGTCAAGGGTTAAGATCCCCTTACTGGTCATCTTAAAAAAAAAAAAAAAAAAGATGATGTTAAAGGCTAGACTTGACAAGAAATATTATAAGGTTGGCTTTTAAATGTAATT